CTATATTAATAAAAAACAATTTTTAATTGTTTTAACATTGGATTAAAAATTTAATTAAGAATTTCTGTAAATTAAACCTGAGAATTTTACATCTTTGCAGATTAAATGTGAAGGAACCCATGCGAAACCCATTAGGTTTTCAACAGTAAAACAACCAGTTCACCCTAATTTCAGCAGTTCTGTTGAATCGCTGTTTTCACAGTTCAACACCAGTAACAGCATCCTGAAGACCGGATTTGACTTCTTGGACAACTGGTAAAATCCACAGCCGAGAGCCGCCACCATCATCATCATCATCATCATCATCACTGCTTTAGAGATGGACCACATCGCCATGACTACAAACATCCAGATTTAAGAGACACACTCCTGAAGAACAACGGCATCGATTCCCTTTGGCTTAAGACATTAATTCGCCACCTGTGTACTTTTTGGCTTTTCTTCAAGAACATCTTGTTTTTTTAATGCTATGTTATAAGTCTGGATGCATGACATTAAACTGCTTACACACACAATTAGAAAACACTAAAAGCATGTCATATTTCAGTCCAAAACTATCATATTGCTTTTGTTTTTTGTGACTATAATTTTGCTCTTAAGCGCTTTTAATTTATAACCATCTATGTTCCTGATGTGATAATCTTTAGGGTTTAGAGTTAAGGCAATCCTTTAATGCTGCAGTTCTAATATAAATATAGTATTTTAGAAGCAAAATCATAAAAAATTTATCATAATTGTGTTTAGTTTAAAACTGAAATCAGACTGAATGCTCAAACCTGCTGAATGGATTTAGCTTCTCGCCACATCATTCCATCACTGCTGTGTGTTTTGATAAAATACGCATTTGAAACATGTTGGTAAACAATCACCATTACAGTGATTGGTAGTGTTTGTCATAGACTAAATACCTAGAGTACTATTTTACTTAGTTTTATATTTATCTGCTAATTTTATCTTCAGCTTTATGTGTACAGATGGTGAACTCACATTGTGAGGTTAAAGATTGAAATGAAGTAAAATAATTAAATCTAAATTGTGTCATGTCTTTCTTTTTGAGGCTTTTGGATAGAAATGCTTAAAGATGATAAATGTTATTACTCTTCCTTTTTAATTATATTTAAGCTTGCAGATTTAACTATTTAGATTATGTCATCAATGCACAAAACATGCTTGCATGTTTTTTAAAAAAATTTAGTTTGTCTAAGATTTTAATATTTTTTTATTCTAAAAAAAATGACTGGATTTGATATGTAGCTGAATAAATCAGACTTCACATGTAAATTAGATTAAATTATGAGGAAAACTGACAGTCAGACTTTACCCAACACTGACAAAACATCTTGATTGATTTTCCAGCTCTTTAACATTTATGGATTCAGCAACAATTAAAAATCTTAAATGTGTAGGAAATAAGGAATGTTAATGAATATGAGGCAAAGAAAAGTTTTGTGTTCAGTTTACAAACAGAACCACCATCTGGAGCAAATCAGCTGCTCTGCCGGGTATTTATAGAATCTGAAACACTGCTGTTGCATTTCCTACATATTTTATGCTTGGGGAATGGAGAGAGCATCATTTAACAACAATGAAATCAATAATTTAAAATCATTTTAGGTCTAGCACACTGAAAATAATCTTAACCCCTAGCTTAGCCTAGCATAGCACAAAACTTAAGAGCTTTTCCTAAACCAGTTGTGCGTGAATCCAGTCCTCCAGATCTACTAGCTTGCAAATTTTAGATGAAGAGACATTTGATTCCTGTGATTTGCAGCAGGGATCCAGGTAAAAGGACTTGTTTTCAACCCTGTTCTAAGTCTTTTGGGATATTACTTTATGAATAACAAACAAGGCTTGTGACCTTGTTTAGAAATGAGGGTGTTTTGAACTCAGTTAAGCTAGTGATCTTCTTTTGCTAATTCTCACCAGCAATGTACAATCCAGACTGCAAAGCTTTTTATAATGTATAGCTACATATAAACAAGCACATATCTGTTTAAGAATGGATGCAAATTACTAAATTATTAGAATATTAAACAGTAAATAATTGAGTATTTTGGCTAGTTTTGTTTTGTTTATGGTTGAATTAAATCCAGTTTATTTTATGGCACCAAAATTGGCTTCGTGGAAGCAAAACCCAAAAATACCGTTTACACTGTTTTCAGTCAAAATGATTTACAGCACTACTGATCAACCGAAAGATCAAAATTTAATCAGCTGTCGAACCACTGCATTCATTGTCTTTCAGTTTAACAAACTGTGCATTTATGTTATTCCTCAGTTAGACCGAACTGAGGCACCTCTGTCCAGTTCAGCCTCCACCCAGCTCTTCCAGAGCCTGAATGGCTGCTTTGTGTTCAGAAAATATTTTGGTAAAAAAAAAAAAAACTGTAAAATATTTAGCTGAATGAAAATGATTGCCAGTTATTGAACAGGGACGACTCTGTTCAAAAGTACAACCTAAGTCTATAATTTTTAAAAAGCAGAATGGTGTGCGTGTCAGTAATCCTCAGAGTAAGAAATGTTACTGTTTTTGCAACTCAGTAGAAATAAAGTCCTGCCGTTTGTACCGCGATTACTTTTGACTCAACAATTTTGGCCAGTGTGACAAAAACCTTGGACACCTCTGAACTGGGTGAAGCCGTTACTTGATTTAATGAACACATTAGGGCTGAAAAATTTACCATGATACAAGAGTTTCATATCAGTCGATAACGATAGTGATTAGTTTATTGTTAAGTGAAATAGTGCGGATCTGTTGACGTGACCTTTCCGTAGTTGTTTTATTCTTAAGCAGCTATGATTAAAGGTAGCGAAACCTGATACTGCTGCTGCGCAAGTTACTCAACAAGTTGCTGCTAGGTAACCGAAGAATGAGCGCATTAGTTGATGCCACCAACCTTACTTAGCTAGCTGTAAGAAGTTGAGCTGCTAAAGTCTTTCCTCTGCCTATATCTCCCAGAATGCTGTGCGGTTCTGGACCGGAGTCCAGTAAATAATCTATTTATTGAATTGATTGATTTATCCTCTAGTACACGTGTGAAGAATAACTTTTTCTCCCTGTAGCCTTTAGCAGCTAATGCTATGGAGTCACAGGAACTTTATTTCTGCTCCACACTTCGTTTCATATTTCCTTCAGTGTGATGGAAACAGTTACTTGGGTCATAAAAATATTTAAGGCTCAGTTTCTTCTGTCCTGAACTGACCCTTTTACATAATTCTTAATTACATGAACCTTCAAGAATACAATAATATTGAATTTAACACCGCACAACAAAAATAGACCGACTGAAAACAAAAGCTTATTGCCAGCTTATTACTAAACTGAAACTGTAGAATATATAATTATTCAAGAGTTAATATTTAAAACACTTCCATGTCAGCTTTGCTAGATGTCTTAAGTGGACACATTTAATTTTCTGAAGGCAGAGCTGAGGTCTGGAAATGTTTCTGGTATTTCTCCTGTTACTGGAACAGCTGTGCTGAAGCAGACGTCCTGCAGACTCAAACACATCTAACCCTGAAAGTCCCAGCCGCCGCTGGCACGACGCCCGGGTTCCACATCCCCGAGTGCTGCCTTGCTCGCTTCTCTGGAAACTCTGCTGGATTCTTGAGGCGTTTTAACTGGCAAGCCTCCCCCTACAACCTCAAACACATACGCACACACACACGGATGCACGGCCTCTTACATAACTACTTCTGTCATTATTTCCTGGACTGATTTACAGCCCATATTTCTGCTCCCTCCAATTGATTTAATTGTAATGAAATAGCTTTGCACACTGATCTGATATATAGCCTGATTAACAAAAGCGTTTGTGTCAGTAGACCTGTTTGCTTAAATGAATCAGATCCAGGTCAGTGAGGATGTGAGCCAGGAATAACAGCTAGCAAACATGTAATCTCATTTCAAGCTTTAAATTTCCATTCAAATTAAATCATTTATTCACGGACCGCACAGTTCTTTCCACTGATTATGTCAGATGATTTAGATCATCAGGTCTAAAGTTTATCATTTGCACTGCTGTCCGGGAAGTTTTACGTTTTTATGCCAAGAAACTTTCTGTTTAAAGATAAATCTCTGGGTGACATGGAGATTTCTGACAGCCAGCTGAGTAAGCATGAGGGGATAGTGGAGAGGAATCACTGTTTTAAAAATAAAAACCAGGATCAATATGAAGGACTGTGTTGAAAGTTGAAAAGACAAAAAGGAGGCAAAACATTTAAGATACTTTCAGGTTCTTTGTAGTTCACATGTGAGATCACATACAATTTGAATATATTTGGAAACGTAAACAACCACACAAAAAAAGCGAAATAAAAAAGTGAATTGAGAATTAAGACCTGCAGTGTGATCATAGCTGAATTATAATCGGAACTGGACTGCCATGAAAAAGTCAGATGTGGGTCACATGGTAAAAAAATATTATCAGATTTGGGTTGCATTCGCCTGGTGTGTAAATGTAACAGCAACTGATTTGTCAATCAAGTAAAAACATCAATAAAGTAAAATAAGAGCTTGTTTTGCAGCAGTTGCCATAGCCACCAATGATGCAAGCAAACTAGATCATTGTTATCACTGTTTCAGTGATTGTAGCTCACACTTGGGTGTTGCTTGTGTATTTTCCCAACAGTGAAGAGGTTATATTAGGGTACAAGTGGTTTCCACAGGACAGAGATCCATGGGAATCCACACTGCTCTCACAAAGCGTGGAAATGGGAGGTGGAAGTAAAAACAAAGACACTTCCTGTTTGGTGGAAATCAGACCTGTCCAAGAGAAGACGGAGAGGAAGGACAGCAGCCAGGCAGCAGGGATGTTTTGATTTTTGATACCTGCCTTTTTTCCCTTCTGAAAGGGTGTGTGTGTGTGTGTGTGTGCGTGCGTGTGTGTGTGTGTGTGTGTGTGTGTGTGTGTGTGTGTGTGTGTGTGTGTGTGTGTGTGCGTGTGTGTGTGCCCTCCCATTCACATGTCTAATGGGAAAGAGATTCCAGCTGCTGTTCCATGAAGGAAAGGGGAGGGAGAGTTTGCAGAGCGGCTCAGAGAGCTTTAGCTGCTGAAGGAAGAGTTACTGAAAGGAGTAAAATGGGACCAGCTGCCACATCGTACACATTCCTGTGTTTATGTTTTCTGGCTCTTCCAACAGAGATGATCGACGCAGCACCAACGGAGGTGAGCACGTTTAAGTACTTTTATTTTTTTAAACTATAGCCTTCATTCTGATCTATTTTGATTTAAAAACTGCAATCCACACTCCATTTACATTACAAAACTGAAAATGATTTGCGCCTCATAAGCTGTAGGAGATGAAGTCATGAGCCTCTGTGATTCCCAAATAATTACAGATGACATGTCTGGGGACGCAGACTTTGCCAGTGGTGAGTTTTTGAGACTCTCGCTCAATCAGCCAATAAGTGACTGAGAAACATTAAGGGAAAAATTCATGTGTCTTCTTTCTTTTTACTTTAAAGTTTACTTTCAAGCAGCCAAAGCGTCTTTTAATCTTCCAGCTGGTTTTAGCCTGTTTCTCTTTATACTTTCAATTGGGTAGATTGAATTTACCATTTAGTCTACAAATCACACTGATTAATATTATATAACTAAAATTACTCAATTTACTGTTTTCCTTTTATACCCTATTTTCATTGATTTTGACATAAATATATATAATCATCAACCTAATTAAGGTAAAATAAATAACTGACATCATGTTGAAATTAGTCATTAATTGGAGTTATTAAGCCATATTTTCTCCTCTGGATACTTTCGGTGAAACTCCTTTACACTGATTGTTATGAGTAAAACTGACTTGTGATAAATAACCAAATGACTAATGTTCATGTCTTTCTGATTCAGATTTGCAGAAAAAAATTCAGTATTTCCATCTTAACGAGGTTTCATTTAAAAAGATACTTATGATTTCTTCCCACTTCTTCACTTTCTAAAACGTTTTTATGCTACATTAAATTAGTTTCACTGAAATATATTACAGGAATAATATTAGAAACTACAAATTTATGACATATTGTGCTGACTGGACCAAAATTGTCCAAATATTTTTGCTGCACAGTCACCTGTAATGGTCAGGTACAGCAACCATTCTGAAAATTAATAAAACAGCAACATTTTCAAGGAACTCAAACACTTCTCTAAAGGACTTCAAAAAGAAAGAAATTAGGAGTGGTACTGTACAAGCTTTAAAATTAGATGACAAGCACTAAAATATGAAATAAATGGGTCCATTCAGTTTCTAAATTGTTGGAAAATCTAGTATATTTTTTAATATTTCCCTTCTGAAAGGGTGTGTGTGAATATATTTTTGAATATATTTTGAATATTTATTTTGCGTTCTTTAAAAGCAGGTTAAATCTACATGAACAAACCTGGACTTGTTTCTAAATCAAAAATTAAGACAAATTTAGTAGCAAACAGTCTGTTGTGGTAACGTGGGGATCTGTCTGTCTGTCAGGAATCTGTGGAGGTGAAGAGGACCAGAGGCGACGTTCCTGATATTCTTCCAGAACCAGAACCAGAGCCGACCAGCCAAGCATCAGACTTTGAAAACTCGTACAACTATGTCTGTAAGTAACGTCCCCCACCCTTAAAAGACTTCTTTCATTATAGAATTGGCAGGGAATGGTGCATGCAGTAAAAAAGTTATCACTCCTGGGACTGTTTTGTTGTTCAACAAAAACAAATTTGGTGTATTTTATTTGATTTTTTTGTGATAGACCAACTCAAATAAACTGAATAAAATCCAGTGCAACCAGTATCAGAAGATCCATTTGCAGTGTTTCCACTGTGAAACATGGTGATGGCAGCATCATGATGTGGGGATGCTAATCTACAGCAGCAACAGGGGATCAGGTCAAAGCTGAAGGTGAAATTGATTTAGGTAAGGAGACCTGAACAAACGTCCAGAACTACAATGAAAAGGTTTTGATCAAAGAAGAGTCCCATCTTAAAATGGTCCAGTCAAAGTTCGGAACTGAATCCAATTGGCAACCTATGTCTGAAGTGATTAAGCTTCAGCTACTTGGGCAAAAATGAACAAAAAATCCCTTCCGATGCAGAAAGCTGCTAGAAACGTACCACCAGATGCTTCGACTCTGGATACCACACTTTTCAAATTTTTACAGTTTTCAGTATCTTTTTTTTTTACTCCATTTTCCAACCATGCACCAATCTGTGCTGCATCAAAAACGAATCACATGGTGGAACCTGTGGGTTGGTTTAGTGAGGTTAACCAACCATCCTACTTTCTCAGTACTTAAAGCAAATTTTCCACATTTGTTTGGGTCATTTTTCCAGTTCTTTTCTGTTTTCTCAGTATCAAGGCTCGCCGGCATTGACCAGGCCATCCACAAGCTGAACGTTGGTCATTACACTCTGGATGTTAAAGTCAGCCAGCTAATCGACCGACTCTCCAAGCTGGACGGTGAGGTTCAAAATGGTGGCAGAAGTTATTCCAGAATGTTTTATTTATCTGTTTTTTCCCTCCTTTAAACAGCTAAAGTTGGAGATTTGGAGGACAGCATCCAGGAGGTCTACCGACACAGCAAGGACAACCGCAAGGAGATTGGGAGACTGGAAGGTATAACAGACTTTTTCAACCCCTTTTCAAGATTCAGAATTGAATTTGATTGCAATATTCTTTAATATTCAAATTTAAGGCTTTTTAATGCCACTTTAAATTAAATTAAGACAGAAAAAACTATAAATACAGGAGATGATTGGGGGATTCAGCTGTATTGCAATCATGCGAAGAAAAAACTGAAATTTCTGGGGTTTGTTTGAAGCGCATTTAAACTTTTGCTTCACAAAAGACCTGCAAGAAAAAATACAAATGTATTTAAGGCCAACTTACATATCATAGGCATTAAGGATTTTAAGATAAATGTGGGAAAAATGATTAAAGCAGCATTCCTAACCATCTTTGAGGGTTTGCAAATATGCATTTAAATTTATCAGAATTTATATGGTATGATTATCTTTAATCATATCAATCATGTTATATTTTAATATTTAGTCATGTTTTCATCTATAACTGGAAAGGTTTTACCCACATTCTGTTCAGTTTCTAGGTTCTAGATCTGGATTAATTCATCTATCTGCTGTCATGGAAAATAAAACACATGAGGTAACATGCAGGGCTGATCTGGTCTCCAACATGCAAATAAATAACTGATGTTTGCATCAGAAAGGTAGAACTCTGCCAACACCAGAAACTCTAAAAAGAAAATGTTGCATTAAGAAAATATCAAAACGAAGCCTGCAGTTATGTTATACTTTGTACCTTAGAAAATTATAGCTTTGCTGTGTTTGGTTGCTATGCAAATAATAGGGGCTGCTACTGGCACGAAAAGAAACACAGCTCTGGAGGGAAGATTGCCAAAAATAAAATAAATTGAACCCAACTGTGTTCATGTTCCGGCACGTTTCCCCTCAGGGGCTTTTTTAATTCAGTCTGCTGTAGATAGATGAGCGCATGGAGAATGCTGAAGTGTCAAACAACACGGTTATCAGAGGATCACTGACATGTTTGCAATAACCGAAACAAAAGAAAAACAGTGAGGGGATGCAGTTTGTCTTTCTTTTGTAGGACTGCACACAATATGCAAGTAGGTGTATTTAAATAAAAAATGTGGAAGAAATAATACCAAACATTAGTCTGAAACCCTTATTCAGTTTGCACCATCCACATGGTGGTGGAGGTACTTGAATATGGATACCTACAATTTTGGTCCTGAGTCTGCCTGAAAATAGACAGAAGTCAACATCCTCTTTGAGTTAAAACCCAATGAAAATCTTTAGAGCTTCCAATGTTTCCAGATTATCAATTATCTCCCTTATTTTTAAAAGCAGTCAGTGGACTTTGTTTTTGTTTTCCTAAACGGTGCTTGCATTTTGGCTTAGCCTTTGTTGGATGGATGATGACACAGCTGTATGTTATGCCGAGTTCATCCTAGGTTTCTATTTACCTCGTGAGTCATCCCATATTATTTAATGCTTTGCATCCAAGGAACCAAATTTCTTTGCATGAAGACCATTTCTACAGAAACGCTGACATTGTTTGTTTGGGAAGTTTATTGACTCTGAGGTGAATCATTAAAAAGTCCCTGAATTCTCGAGACAGATGCCTTCATTGCAAAAATCACAAAATCGTGCCTAGTAACTTTGGTCCAGTTTCCATTGCAAATATACTAGTACGCTTTAAGACAAAAATAACTTAAAAGTAACTTTTCAGCCACAAATAGGAGTTTGTTTCGTAAAAATAATTCCTTAAAATTGATGAAAAAGTACTTGCTCCACTAGCAGATTATTTAACATATGACATTTTTCCCATGTTATAAGTGAAATAATCTGGAAATTTTTCATCAATATTAACAAATTACTGACTTAAGAGAAGCCTATATATCTTGTTGAAAAATTAATTGTAAATTAGTTTTGTCTTATTTCATGTGATCCAAGATATTTCCTCTGGAAACGACACCAAAAATACTTGGTGAGATTTTGTGTTCCTGAAGTTCTGAAGAGCAATCTTCAAGATAAGCAAATAATTTAGCATGAAATAATTAAAAAGTAGAAGAATATGTACATATTCTTTTTTGGTACTGTTATGATAACGATAAAAATTATGATAACAAATTTATTACTTGTTTTTCTATGTAAGCCTATGACTACATTGTGCAGTATTCAAAGTGCCACAAACACAAATACTGTTCTTGAAAACATTTTCAACGGGCTTCTTCTGGACGCAGCTCACTAAAAGCAGCAAATCTGTTATAATGCTGGGTCTCAATTTATTTTCTGCTTCCTAGGCTGCCACAAAGGACAAAGACTGGGCTACAAATGTTACCTAGTGTACAACAACTTAGCCGACTATGCGGGAGCATCCAGGAAGTGCCTGGAACGCGGCGGACGCTTGGCGATGCCGCGCGACCGCAAGGAGCAGGAGGCCCTGGCGGCGTACATCAAGGCCTTCTTTAGCCCGGGGAACTGGCCCGTCTGGCTGGGCATCAACGACCTGCGCTCTGAGGGGCTGTACCTCTTCGACGACGGTACGCGGGTCTCATACTTCCAGTGGCGCAAGCACTTCCTGTCCAGTCAGCCAGACGGAGGAAAACGAGAAAACTGTGTGGCCATGTCGTCGGACGACGGGGACTGGTGGGACCACTACTGCGACCGGATCATGAACTATGTCTGCGAGTTTGATGACAGGGTGGCACTTTGAAATGAACTCTTTAAAAACTGTTTGCTTTTTCCTAACAATGCCAGTAATTAAAACCTGAATGTGTAGCTCTTTAGAAATAAAGAAAACATTTTATTTAATCATTATCACATTAATTATTTTAGCATACAACATGGTCTAGTCCAAACGCAGAGCTCTGGAGAGAAGTTTATGTACATTCATCGTAGGCATGAATTTCATAGTAATTTTGGTTTTATGGTAATCCATTTGACTGATTTTCTTGCAACAAGCATAGGGAGATTCTTAAAGCAAGAATCAGACACATTCTTTCGTTAGACATCAGCAAGCTTCTGACTTAATACTTGTTGTGTATTTAACAGCTACACATGGCCAAATCGGTACAGTTTATTTCAATTAATTGGTTTCCTGGAAGAATCCAGTTTCTGACATGGTTGAGAATTTCACACTAACCTGCTTTATCCAAGTCAAGACAAAGCAGGTGAGTTTCCTTCCAACTCCGTGTTTCAGCAGTTTTCTGGAAATTTGTTCCAGATTACAGGAGCATAAAAACAAAATGGTGCTTCAGTAACAGATTTTTAATGATATTTAATGTATTTTGGAGCAAAGCTATTATCTGATTTGTAAAAAAATGTAAAAAAAAACAAAAGTATTTTAAACTCTATTCCCAATGCTATAATTTGATGTCAAGCTGACAAAAGACATTTGTTTAAGCCCAAGTTTAGAGGTTTTGATTTTCTTCTGTTTTGATTGTTCAGAGTCCACAGTACAGAAAAAATCTCAAACAGTTTGGGTCAGATGGTGCAAACATGGTGTTCCAACATGGATAGTTTCCCACAAAAACATTAAAACAAACCTTTTACTCATCAACATGAGTCCACAACTCCAGTCCTCAACTGCCTCTGTCCTGAACCTAATGGAGGCATTCCTGCTCCAACACACCGGAACCAAAACACTGAAACTCACTGATATGTCAGTACATTTTGCATTAACTATTAATCATTTGATTCAGGTATTTTGGAGCAGAGATGCAGCTACAAGTGCAGACCCCTGACTTGCACGAAGTATCAAGCTCAACCCAAATGAAAAATTGTAAAATATGTGTGAAAAGCCATTGAAATAAACTGTACAAACCGAGCAAAGAAGAAGTCATAGTGTAACGTATTAGAGACCAAATATTTCACCAATACACAAAGTGTACAAATATTTCAAATAAGCAAGTATGCATCTAAATACTTATGATGCATACTTGCTTCTTAAGTATGCATCTTGTCTTATCTTCGTATCGACTGAACTGTACTGTACGTGTCAACGATGGAGTGAAACATTTTGCTCAGTGTGTTTGTGCTTTAATCATTGTTGTTCATGCAGCTGCATAAATATGACTGTAAGCCAGTTAAAACTGCTGATTACATTCAGGGAACTCTAAATATTGGATCAGGATTTTCAAACAAGGGTAAAAACTGAAAGATGGAGGAACTTTCTTGGGAATCAGCACATACCAAACCCCTTCATGATATCCATCAGTGTGTGCTTGGGCCTTAGGAAGAGTTAAGAAGTAGCAGAAATGTTTTCAATAAGGGCTGGTGCTGAGTCCTGCTAAACTGCTGATTAACTCGCATTCTTTTGTCCGGAGGAGATTAAGCTCGACTTCTGCACAGTCTGCAAGATGACTTTCTCAAAAACATGACATATTTTGTCTCCAAAACAAGAAAGTAAAATGACAGCTTGGGTTTTTATTTTCCTTGGTATAAGTTTAGATCAGATGATTTCAGTAGAAGTGTTCATCATAAATACCAACAGTACATTTGTTTTTGGATATGTTGGGTTTTGGAGACATGCTGAATGAACATTTATCTACACTACCTAAAAATTTTTGTTGTTCTTTCCAAAAGAAACATAATTAGTTTAATTAAGCAGTAAGTTGTAGCTTTGTGATGCTTGATTATTCAACAATAAAGTCAATCACCTTTACAAATCTACTCCTAATATTTGCTGCTGTTGATATGCCTCTAAGATTATGAATGTGTATGAATGTATAATTGTTAAGGATTGCGGTACATTTGAAAGATGTTTACATACACTGCATCTAAAGGCAAAACATCTTGTAATGCACCAAAATCATTTTATTAACTAAATGCCAGAATAATGACAGATTTTTTCTTCTTCTGTTTGCATTTATCAGACTTGCATTCTAAACTCTGGTAGATTTTTAACCTGGACAATCAGCAAACAGAAGGAGAAATTATTAATGATGAAGTCAATTTTCTGCATGGCATTTGGTCCGCATTAGCCATATATATCCAAATATTGAAGCTAAAATTGTTTTTTATTTATCTCGATTCTGGCGTATTGGCTTCTTCCTCCAGAGCGGCCTTTCAATTTGTTAAGACCTGGTTCAGAGTGTTTTACTTTGGTTCCAAGGTTGATGTGCAGAACAGAATGATGCTTTTTATATGGTGTATGCAAATATCTGGTTTCAACTGTATATTTTTAGTTAAGCAACAAATGAATATGACTTTTCGTTTTAAATCACAACATTGACATGACAAAAGAAGATCAGTTTTGTCTTTTCTGCACAGTTCTCCATCAGCCGCATCTCTTCGTAGCGAGTGTGAGACGAGACGTCATCGATGTGCGTCAAAGAGCCGGTCTTCTTCTGTGGTATCAATGTTTTTTTTACGGCTTTTGTTAATTTTTATCTTCATAGCTGCTGGTGGAGTCGTCCTCAGCGGCTTGCAGGACGTCTGTCAAACTCACTCTGTCCAGAGGGTTTTTAGATGGATGAGAGAGAAGCACCTTTCCCGTTTCGTCCAGTAAAAAATCCCCTCCCAGCTAAAAATATAAGTAAAATAAATAAAAGAGATGGAAAGTTGGAAAAAGACTTGATCTGGACTGCTACTCAGGTAGTTTCACTGAAATTATATTAAAAAAAAAAGTACAGGGTATTTCAGCCCCCTTTATAATACAGAAGATAATGACTATAAACTATTTAGCATAATTTAAAATTAGATATCCACTAATAAGCTAATAATAGCAAGGAAATATGCTTATGATTCTCAGTTTCAAACATGTTTTTTTGCAGTATAACAGAAACTGTATGGTTTAAAGTGGCATAATTTTTTAAAAATGTATATACAGATAATATAAAGATATTCAAGCTCCCATAAACTGTAAGCAAAGTTGAAATGAAATGAGAGATAATAGGAGCATTTTATTTCTTAAGGAAAGTGCTGTGTGAGTGCTGTTAGTTAAGAGGCCGGAGCTGAAACTCAAGGTTAATTTAATGGATTAAAGGTATATGTAAAGCTGACTAATATAAACAGAGAAACATAAGAGGAAATAGTGGACAAACTCAACCTAAACGCTTAAAAACAAGAACAAAGAGCTGAAAAGTGTGATAGATTCATAAATCAATTTAAAACAAACAAAAAAAAGAGGAAAAGTTAAGCTTAATTTTAGAAATCAAAAGGTTGATTCCCTGATTGACAAAGGTGGATCACGCAAGAGTTGGTTTAGTGGAAAAAAATTTTTCCCCACATTCCCAGTAAACAAAGATGTTGGAAATTTGAATTTGGAAGTTGGATAAGCCGTCTTAGGATCCAATAGGCCTGCTTCACAGATGAAATCCAGTTGAAACTGTTGCTATAAATTATTAGTTACCACACTGATAGTTTCTATCTCGTTAAAGCAGCAGCAGCACAAATACAGCTCAATATATTATTACCAACTTGTTCACTGGGGAAAAATACATTGTGTTCCCCTTGTGTTACCAATAACTGGCAGCACAACAGAAAAGCGAATATCACCGTTTTCTTGGAAAACAACTGGAGCGTGATTCAGCTTGGCTGTGACGTAAATCCCACCACCAATTGAAAGGAAAACCGAACACAACACAAATAAATAAAAAAGAAAACTTTATTGCTGTAAAATTACAGCACAACCCAAGTGATTTTCCGATGTTGCTACGTCCAAGAGGACTGAATGCTGCAAGCCAAGGTAGAGCACGAAGTCAGGCATTTTTTAGAACGGAAAGAGTTTAGTTAAGTTAGAAAGCAAAGCTGGAGTTGGTGAATTTACTCACTGTGGTAGTTTAAAGGAGACCTATCACGCTAAACTCATGTTTTGCATATTTTTATAATTCTATTTGGGTCTCAACTGCTTCTAAAAACAGTCCAAGCACTAACAGAATACCCAGCTGCTAATTAATTAATGCTTTTTGGGGTTTCAACAATCTCACATTTGTTAATAAGAAAGTATGTGTTTTCCAGGCACATAGTGTCATTTTATTACACAATCAAGTGACTATGTCCTCTTCATAATCCCTGTTATAAAAATGCTATATGTATTAAAGATGACTTAAAGAAAATTTCACTTTCCAATTTAACGCCTTGCAAAATAGTTTTAAGGATTTCATTAAGAGTCCCATCGTAAAATGTAATTTACTGTTAGAAAAAGATGGTAGTTTGTTGAAAATTTGAATCGATTAGTTCTGTTAATTGCTAAAAGCTTGAATGGCGTTTCTAGCTAGAAGCAGTTCATTTTCACAAAGCATTTTCATGGAATACCAGGGTTTAATCCAGCCACTTTTGTGGAATAAAACTTTCAGGAAAAAAAAAAGAGTCAATTATCTTAAAAATATACGCCACCAAAAAACCTATGTCCTGCATGAGTACCTGATAAATGTCTTCCAGGAGTTGATGTGGGAAGTCAGGGAAGTCTCTGTCTGCAGCGCTGAACTCTGAAAACTGCATCAGGCAGCCAAACTTCAACACCTTGGAGAAGGAGGAGCTAAGCCCAAAACTGCGGTAGACCTGGACCAGGAAGTATTTATGAAGTCAGCATGACCGTCTCCATAGCCACTGAGGACTGAATGGCCTGAACACTTGGCTCACTGAGTTTTAATGGCGCCATTAAACAGCTGCTAAAACCTTTAGTCAACTCCCAAACCGACTACTTTTTTCTGAATCAAAGCCATTTCTATATTTGATGACAAAGTTTCATTTAATTTATCACTTTAGATTGTGGTTAACTCCTGCCACTTTAACAATTAAGTGCTTTCGTTTCATGCTGACCATTTTTTGTGAATCCAACAGCATTTCGAAGGTACATCCTGTCTGTTCCAGCCACAGCTGAGCTCCCTCCACACCGCCGAAGGAAACCACCATGACCCGCACTGACTGGGCCTCCAGGAGGGTCTGCAGAGCAAAACAAAATCATAAAACTGCTTCACAATTCTCTTTTGATTCACTTGAAGATGATTTTTCAGCATTTTGTGCCCATTTGGGGGGATTTTGAACCAAACTACAGAAGGTGAACTGACCTGATTGGCCTCCAGCTCAGCCACATGGTCCCGTCACGGCAGCCATCCAAAATTTCCAAGGAGAACCAGCAGCAGCTTCTGACCCAAGAACTGACCCAGAGTCACACTCCTTTAAAGAAAATAACCAAAAATATTACTTTATACACTGAGATAAACCAGTGGGAGTGACCTGGAATGACTAATGCATAAAAACTTGCTCTTTTGATCGTGCATCAGTGAATACACAGTCAGGACTTAAGTTGTCTGCTGGCTTTGCTCCTGATAGTTCCTCATCAGTCGTCTCATCAGTCAAATCTTTGTCCACGCTCTGCAGGAAGGAGTCCCACTCATTCTGAAAAATTAACCAGAAAAGTAAAAAGTTACATGAATTGTGCAAAAAGATGACAAGTGCAAATATATTCAGTTTCAAAACAAAAACCAAATAATGAAAATAATTTTACAGACTTACTACAAAAAGATATACAAGGAAACAGTTGTAAAATATATACAGACCTCCAGTTTGAGAAGCTCTTCTACTTGCTCTCTGACTGCTGCAAGGCTGGGAAAAAATAAATTATTAAATGTAAGTGCTTATATTTTCATGTCAAACTATCAATTCTAAAACTAAATCAACCACTATCATCTTATTTTGAAAATATGGACAGATAAATATGATTCAGTATAAGATTTATTGAACACCTTAATCACATTTTGTCAGACTTACTGGTATAATTTCTGCCAAACAGCCTCTGCTTCACCTTTTGTCTTCACTCCAATTCTGCTCCAAAACAGACTTTATTCAAAATCCAGTTCAAAAATGTAAAAACACTTTAATATACAAAAAAAAACTAAACGACATGTTTAGAAGGTTTTTTTTACCTTCTGTAGAAATGTTCCCCAGCTGTGATCAAACCAAATAAGGTAGTGATCTTATGAGGAACAAAAGTCTGCAGAGATGCTGAGGAAATAGAAAAACAAAGGCGCTTTGTAAAGGTCAGGTGGATTTGTTGCCTTTGTGTTGGAAACAGGCATGACAGGGATTAGATTAGACAAGCCAGTTCGGTATTTTAATCCAAGGATTTTATGTCAAGAATTGAGTCTGAAAATAAAGTTAAAATATCCATATTTATTCACTATAAAAGTGAGCTTACATCAATTTTGTTGAAGTAGCAAAATACGTAAATTACTAGGTTAAGCTAAGCAAAATGAAAATGGTGCTAAAAAGTTACTTACACGACATTATAACATTGAATATTCCCCTACTGTGAAAGTTTTTCCTACCTGCTGCTTCCTGCTGGGCATTCTGGAGTAATATTTGCCCCAAACTGACCAACAGATTCAGGGCACCGGCTAAAGCCTCCTCTGAAACAGCCACATCCTCCGCCATGGTCACCGCCACTCAGACTAACCGCCGCTGCCCTGACGTCACTCACACCTAACGGTCAGCTGCGCACGCAATTAGGGATCACGTGACAGGAAAATCTGGAACTTTCGGTGGTTAACAAAGTAGCAAAGGCGTTGATGTATATCACCAAATTACCACTAAAGTCTATTTATGGGTAAAAAGTTGGTTTGCTAGCCGCATATAAAAGCTATCTTATTAACCTATTAAGTGGTAGCAAGGTTTAATTGTTAATGCTTATCTGTCCAAACAGTGGCGATCCAAGACTTTGTGGGGCCTGAGCAAAATTTGATTCAGGGCACCATGAATAAATTTGCTTATGCAATAAGTCATTAAAAAACATGCCATACCATGATTCTCCAGCGACTTCCTGTTTCTTCTTTGTGGTTTGCACCATTGTTAATTATTTGTTGATCAGGTAATACAAAAAGTGTTTACATTGTAAATTTAAGAAATAAAAGTTTCAACATGGGCAAAAAAGATCCTCGCACCAAAACATTTTATAATTTATTTTAAATTGCAGCATTTATATAGAAACTTTTTTTTTTCCAAAATGTCAAATTGCCTAAGCCACACGGTGCTCAAGAAAGCATATAAATAGCCTAGTTTACTGTACTTATATTAAGATATAGTGCTATAAAAATTAAATATTGGGTGCTTGTTGTAGACACGTAGAAATTTGAATATTACAATTTATGAACTTCAGATGTTTCCCCCCCATAATAAAAAAATGTTTAATTTTTATAGATTTGCAATTTAAAAAAAAAATTCTAAATGAGAAACTATTTCTCAGTTTTCATGACTACAAAAACAAAAATAATCAGAGACAAGTGAAATTCCAGCCCAGTTTTATTGACTGTTTAACATTCATTCAATAAGAAAAACTCATCCCTTCAAGTTTTAGAAAGTAATATTGAAAGATTTTCTCCCCTCTAACTCTAAAGCCCACTGAAGCAGTTAATTACCAAATGTCCTGGAAAAAGGAGATGATTACAACCAGAAAGCACAAACAGAAAATTAGAGGAAAAGCAGAAGTTTCTGACTGTATGTCATGCATTAAATAAATTAACAAGATCTTTTAAACAAAGCAGGTTGATGATGAAAGACAATATAGGATTGTATTGACTTTCAGTTTTCACAAATTTATTATTTAAGGCTTTAATAATCACAGGAGAGTTTCAGAGAACGTCTTCCTTGTGCTTTAGGTCAGGTAACAGTACACAGCATTACGGCTTCAGACATGCTTTTCTATGATTGAGAGGATAGTCCAAAACATCTCATTTTGAACACAATTAAATCATATTTCTGCTTTATTTATTTCTTTCAAACCATCTCAATCTGTTCCTCCAATATTCAAAATTAAAATCTGATTAAGATTCTCAGGGATTATAAAACAAAAGTCTTTTCTAAACCAATTTTCTAAGAATTGGAAAATACAAATTTAGCCCGCTTGCCATAGTTAAGATTCGATGTTAAAGATCGAGCAGTCAGAGACGTTAGAGGACAAAAACTTTAAAATAAATACCAAATTTAAATAGAAAAGTATGGAAATGTTTAACTGTCAGAGTTTGGAAATAAATTCAGGAGCAGTATCTCATTAAAACAAGAAACTTTCTTGTGTTTACAAATTTTACATCACATTATAATGAGAAACAGTTAAAACAAGAAACTGATGTCACCAAACCTTGCATCTTGTTATAGCACGACGTGAAACGTCCATTACAACAAGAAACTCTTGGTTTTTATGAGTTTTGCATCTCCTTATGAGAAACTTAAGACAAAAAACTTGTCATAACATATTAAATTTCCCGTTTTAATGAGAAATTTATTTTTAACTTGTCATATTGAGAAACTCACTATGAAGAAAAACCTGTTAGAAACTAACTTTAATTAAAATTACATTTCATTAAAACGATACTTTGCTGATATGAGATATGAAACTTCATGATTTAATGAGAAACTAATTTTTAAGAGTTTGAATCTCGTTATAATGAGAAACGAAAAACGTATTAATTCAAGAAACTCATTTTCACAAGTTTTGCATCTTTTTAAAACGAGAAATGTTGTCATATGGAGAAACTTTCAAGTGATGAGCCATGAAACTTAAAGAAAAAACCAATTTTGGGGAATTTTTCATCTTCTTATAGTAAGAAACATTCTTATTTTAACAAGTTTTTCAGCTGGTTATAACAAAATTTAACCAAACAGGTTCTGGAGACAAATTATAAAACTACTCTGAATGCCGATTAATCCATTTATCATTTTGTATAAAATGTCCAGAAAAGGAATACTGATTATTTTTAGCACAAAATTCACATTGTATTAAATTATCTAAATAAGCCCATAACAGTTTAGGGAACAGATTTGATTGAGTTAAACATGTATATCAGCTACCAGAAGCAGATTTAAGATTACAAATACATTTTTATTTAGTCCTCCAACATCTCCGAAAGATGCATGAAAACAGAACCTTTTAAAAAAGTGATTGCAAGAGCTGAGAATAATAAAAATAAAAAGACTGCTTCAAGTATCCCAAGGAAAATTCAGTAGCCCTGAAAGTTGTTCCAAATGGTTTTAACTTTGAACTCTTCTCTGCTGATCGGCTTGATTGATTGTGTTCACAAGGAAGATTTTAAAGTGCCAATTACAGTCTGCAGTTCTTTCCCCATTTTGTTTTTTAGATGCTGACCTAAACCTACAATATTTCTAGCACCCTATTTTACAGTTGAGGCATTTTAAAATGAGGTTTTGTTCAGAGGGTTCCTCATGCGGATGGGTTTTGTGCTTTGGGTGCTTCAGGCCAACGAAGCAGAGGAAGAGCAAAGGCGGACAAAATCTCTTCTACATCCCAAACAAAACTACAAAAGCATCTTGCCCAATATGTTTGGGTCTAGTTTCAAGTTCAAAGATCTTAATATACTTGAAATAAGACAAAACTTATAAGCAGCAGCTCGTTTTAAGTCAGTAATTTATTAATATTGATGACAAAGTTCTAGTTTCATTCGCAGATTATTTCACTTAAAACAAGACATTTTCCCATGTTGACAGTGAAACGATCTGCCACTGGAACTCCGTGTCTAGGTAACGGCGCCAGTGAAACTAGAACTTTTCCATCAATTCTTTAATTAAAACAAGCTCCTATATCCTGCTAAAAAGGTTCTTGTAAGTTAGTTTTATTATTATTATTATTATTATTTCAAGTGAACTAAGATGGTTCGCTATGAATTAGACCCAAAATGTTGGGACTTTTGCAGTGAAAATTGAAAGATCTGTTTAAAGCTTGATATTGAGGTCAAAACAAATAAAACTACTATCTGGCAGCAGTGTTTATTTAATAATCTATAAGATTCAAACCAGAGAAGCACTTTAGCGATCAATTTTAACCATCTTTTTGTTCATTATTAAGTAGCAGCTAATATGCTTTACGATTTTGGGGTCATATGTCAAGTTATAATACATGTGAAGCCAAGAGTGATGGTAAACAAATAAGTAAGACTGAGAATATTCCACAAATGAGATCAAGGTTCACTTTTTGGTATGAATTTAGAATATTTTGGCTCGTTTCAGTGCAGTTTTGTTTGGGATGTAGAAGTTTGTTCCTTTACTGTTATTGTGCAGAAGCTCCATTGTTAAGACTTTATTTGACAGATTTCTCTGAGCGCTGGAAGATGTTTTAAGACTTCTTTGGACAATGTGAAGACGAGTCTGTGTTGAGGACCTCGATCATCGTTCTGATGGACGGGAAGGTCTCTGCTACAGACGGAAGACTTCGGTACCAACTGGGTAAACTGGGAACAGGAAGAGTTTGAGTCACACTGGACTTTCAGGAACACAAACGAAGCCGAACGTTTTCCAGTCGTACCTTTTTAGATTCATCCAGCTCTTTGCTGTTTTACTGAAACTTTCTGGACTTGGTGTCGTCATGGCTTCAAAATCTACCAACTGAATCAAATAAGGGCAGAAAAAAACAATGAATTAAGGATCAACTTCTAATGACTGAACAAAAACAAAACTATCCATCTCTGGATTTAAGATTGACTGTGCAGGTTGCTACGCCAAACGGCACCACCCACTGGATGTAGGGAGTCGATTAGGTGAACAAACTCCTGCCTGAGATCAGAAGGTCGTTAGAGGTCAGTAGCAAACTACTGGAGGATGTTTAGTGTGCTGCCGAGCAGAACGCTAACGTTGTTGTTTCTCCCTACATCCAGTGGGTGGCACAGGATGCTACAATCGATAGTAGCCACACAGGCACACCCTTTAGAAGGAAACAAACGCACCCAGTACAACACTTTCTTTCTATTGGCTGAGAGGTTGCCAGGCAACTGTGCCAAAAGGCGTTTCCAAAGGCGAGCAGAGAGTCCGAACAGAGACTCTGTGTGAGCGCGAGGAGAAGTTTTGGAGAAGTTTTGAGTACAACCATTACAAGTTTTGAGAAGGAAGACGTGAAATCCTGCTTTCAAAATAAAAATGTGTGCTTTTGGATTATGGCAGAAAAATTCCTCCATACTTTTCCAACAAATAATGCATATCAATGGGGATGATTATTTGTTTCTGTTTTTTCTTTTTGTCAGTTTGAAATAAATCAATATTTTGTGTGTAAATGTCTGGTTTTATTTATTTACCTTTCCTTTTGGGATTCTACCGATGACCTCCTTCCCACTTGCCATCAGCGCCCCCATCACCACCGAATACGCCACCACACTGACCACAAAAACATCAGCCGATAACTGAAACCACGTTTTGCTTTTCAACAAAAGCAGATTTTAATGTATTTGACTGAAACTCACCTGGATCCTCTGGATAGAGGCATGAGGTTGCAGAAGTAATAAATCAGAGAGAGGATCAGGTTGCACACTGCATCTGCGTCCTGAAAAAAAAAAAACCGGAGGAAGTGAAGCTTTCTGCAACCATCCAGATTAAGGATGTATTTGTTAAACATCCATATTTTCACTTTCTCCTGCTGTCTGTAAAATTGACTGCATATCCGTTTTGTTTCTAGAGACAAGCGTTTGGTGGTAAATCTCACCCCCAGCTCGGTGGACAGCATCAGCGCCTTCCCTTTTACTGTCAGGTCTTTGTAGATGTTCTCAATCTCTGACTGGTACTGCTGCGTCCGCTCCTCTGTCGTCTGGGTTTCTACAGAGAACAACATGTTCCCCACCCTAACAGAACGAAAAGCAAAGCAACATAAGCCAACCGGAAACTTCAAATTCATACAAACATGACTTAATACTTTTATGATCTTGTATTTCCAGGGTTTCTGGAGATTCTGGGTTTAGTTTTTAGGTTGAAGTAGTTTGAACTAAGAACTTAAGGCAGATATTTCTACAATGGCCTGGATTTAAATATGGAGCCTGGAAAAAAACTAATGAATGAATGAACAATGGATGGAATAAAACCACAGAAAAACATGTATTTAGTGTACTTGGACTTATACAGTTCAGCTGAGTGTATAATATCAACTTCAGTTATTACAGGCTGCAGTTTGTGGGAAGCAGTGACACCTAGTGGTTAAAACTGCAGCAATTTTAGTGCAAATGTTGGGTTTGTTCATTCTGCTGGAAAGAAATGATGCAAATAAAAAACCTTACTGGACAGAAAACTGTGTTTTAAGGCCTTGAGCCAGTCGGCTCCGTCAGATGTTACCTGTCTCCGGTGATGGTTATGGTGAAGCCGTCGTACTCCTTCCCAGGATCCTTCACACTCGGCACCTTGGAGTTCACAGTGAATCCATCTCTGGTTTTACTGTTAAACTGCTTCAAGAAATAAACACAAAACCAACAATCCTGGAATTTCACTGCTTAAACAGTCACATCAAAACCACATTTCACCATCAACTGTCTGACGACTGATGCAAATTATCGATTAATCCAAAGTTCATTGATCTTATCAATCGAGCAACAATTTGTTTGATAAGCAGCCATTTTCTTAAAAACACCAGAGCCGACTGTCTTTCCATAATATGCTGAATTAAAATTTAAAAACCATTAAATTTTAACATTTTGTCTCAGCTGTATTAAATACTGACTGACTAAACTAAAACTTGTAGTTCTGATATTTTTAAACTTACTATAAAATAAAACAAAACATATGTGAAACACTTGATTTCCAAAGAACAGAGAGATATTTGTACAATAATCCCGTCTGTTGCTCTTGAAGAAATATTAAAACTTCACTCTAATAATTGAAATCAACCGTGTATATTGGCGCCATGTTTTTCTCCATCATGTTACATTTATTCTCCATCCCGGCTGCTGTTCTCTTGTATTATCCTCCCTTTCATAGCAAATCGTTAGTTTCTGATATGTCAAAGAGCTTACTGGGTGTTTACATTTCTGAAAAGAACTACAGAAAGCGATTTTTAACCCTTAACCGGACTCTGTTTGGGCTATTTCTCTTTTCCTTTCTATTTTTGTTTCTATTAAGTCTGTGCTTCATTATGACTAGCGGCGCCCTCTGCTTGATGGCAGCCGAACTACAACACAAACTTCAAAACTAAAACTACAACACAAACTACAAGCATGTCTGAGTGGACGTCTTTTGTTAATCGATTGGAACTAATTTTAATCTAATAAAACATTAATCGATTGATTCCTTCTAACCTTCATTATTGGCAGAAGATCTTCTACTTTATTAACATTTTCAAGTGCCTGGCGGACCTCCAGGAGGCCTCTTGGGTTGTACGCCCTGGTGGAGATGGACAAAAGTAACAACTTTTTAATAAAAGGAAGGAATTGTCTTTGTTATATCTGCAAATAAGGCCATTGTAAGTCATAAAAAAGTCAATTTCTGCCAAATTTTGAGATTAATCTCAAAGTTTCAACAAAAAACATGGAAATTTCTGAGCTTAAAAAGTCAAAACGTTTCTCAAAGAAACTCGGAATTTAACAAAAAAAATTTTTGTTTATAAAAAAAACGTAGAAATTTCTGAACTCAAAAAATGGACAATTTTCTAGAAAACATTTGTGAATTTCTGACTTTTAAAAATCAAAAGTGTTTGGCTTCTGGGTGAATCTTGATTTTCAAAAGTCCAAAATTTTGCTTATTGGCATCATTTCCCCCCAAACATTTTACATTTTTTAATTTCTGTTTTTTTTCCCCTGGAAAATTTCTGAAATTAACCATAAAATTTCTAAGTTTTTTTTTTTCTCATAACTTTGTTACTTACGGAGCTCAGAAATCTCAGAGATTTTTTCTAGAAACTTTCTGACAATTTAAAAATTTTCTGAACTTTTGGCAGGAATTTACTCCTTTTTTCTACAATGGTCTTACATACAAATAGTTTGTGAACAAAATTGAAAGGATGTCTGGTGTTATTTACCCGTGGTACACTAATATTCTGTCTTTAATAAACTCTAGGATGTTGTCAAAGTAGGCCAGGTATCTAATATTTATAATCTGACCCCTGAGGAGAAAGGAAACAGAGAAAACTTCAGATTTAAGGACTTTAAAGTTTCTGTGAAGGTGAAATTTGTCCGCGTTGTGACCTGATGAGATTAATGTGATTGTTGAAGCCTCGACTGAGGCTCCTGGCTGGCATCTGATCCAACCACAGAACCGGCTGGTCTGGATCTGCGATCCTGCAGGAACAGGAAAAGCCTGATTAGTTCACTGACTCAGGAGTACGTCAGAGTAAAAAGCAAGATTTCTGTGATATACAAAAATAAAACCATCCAGTTGAAACCTGAAGACCTGATACACTGATACACAAAAAAAAAGATACATTCATCTTCTTTTCCTCATTATTTGAGGTTAAATCACAAAATTCTCTGGTTTTAGGTCAGTTAGAATCACCAACATTATTTCTAATGCTCAGCAGCACAATAATAAGAGATTTATTTACTAATGTGGCGTTATTTGCTTTAAGAGCCAGCTCCTGGGGAACAAGCTGTTAAAGCAATATGGCAGGATGAGGGCAAATCAATGGCAACATCTTTTAGGTAAATATATTTTAAGTATCAGTAAAAGTGCAAAAAACAAGCCTAAAATCCAAGAGGGCGAATCAGAAAAAAAAGTAGATAAAAATGTAATACATTTCTGCCTAAAAACTTCAGAAATTTTGAAAATAAAATCAAAGATTTTCTAGAAAAAAATACAATTTCTGAGCCCCAAAAGTCAAAAACTTCCAAAAGAAAAAAAAAGTACATTTTGAAAATAATCTCACAAACTTTCTAGGAACAAAAGAAAGTTTCTGATCTAAAAATTTCAAGAACTCAAATTCTGATTTCAATTTCAGAAATTTTCAAGAAAAAAAATAATATACATTTCGGAGTTTCAAAAGTCAAAAAAGTTTGACTTTATAACTCATAAAAGTAAAAACTCCGAGCATAAAAGAATTTGAAAAAGCTAAATAATTATTTCTCATGCAGATTATTGCAAAACTCTTGCAGTTACTCAAACAATCTGAATTCAACAGAAGAGAATTTGATGTTAAACTCAATAAAATGGTCATTTATTCCTTTCGTCTCTTTAGTTTTAACTTTTTGTCTTTTGCACAGAAACACCTAAAGTGCACTACTTAAATAATTTACATATTTTCATCTTTTCTAAAGCATTTACTGTAGTATCAGTAAATTTTTTCTGACCTCCTCCATTTGACGGCTATGTCAAACATGTCTCTCCACTGCATTTGCCGGGTCTTTCCGTTGACTCGCACTTTGGAGCTGCTCCAGGTCCGGTGCATCGCCTGCATCACCTCCAGCGTTGCCAACCCCATCGCTTTGAAAACAAAACAAAAAGAAACGCTGCTTATTTTACCGCTTTTCTAATGTTTGATCTGTGACTTCAGAACGGAGTCGTCAGTACCTCTGTGTATTCTTTTGTTCGGTAGGAACCCAGGCGTGTCGTACTGCATCAGCGCGCCCAGATGGTCGGCCGCGCAGATCAGCTTCTGGACTTCGGTGCTGTAGCTGTCGAAGTTCTGAGGCAGAACGTCTCTGTGGATCAAAAACACGACGGATGAACTCGCTTCACGATGTTCAACACAAGGTTTTTAGGAAGTCTAATAAATGTCAGATGAGTAATGTGAGCATGAAATAACTTGAGAAAATTAAGGTGGATTGAAACCATCAGGACATGTTTTTGTACGGTTCAAAATGATCCTAATCAACTTTAATCAGGATTTTTCCAGTTTGGACATTTACACATGTACATACTGTTCCTTTTATTCACCACTTTAATTCTGAATTTCATGTAATTATAACTAATGTCTGCACTCTGTGAGCTCTTGGACCCAAACTCAAATTCTTTGTGCTCACAATCTTAGCAATGAAGAGGATTCTTGTTATTTTTCCAATTTTCAAGACAAATATTGGAGAGTTCCTTGAATGAAAACTAATAAAATAGATTAGAAATAACCAATATTTAAACTACATTTAATTTAAACAAAACTATTTTAAAAACTAACTCATACGGTTTTAGCTGCACCTGGTTAAAATCACTAACTGAATGCTATGCTATTGCATTTTAGGCAACAAAATGTTTATTCTCTCATTTAAAAGGGAATTATTTCTTCATTTTTCTCTTTCAATGCGTTTCTAATATTGCATAAAAAAACTCAAGAGGTTAAATGAAAAATCTGCAGAATGTTCCAAATATGTTTTAATCGATTAATCATCAGAATAATCAGAATCGGTTTAATAAAATAGTTGTTAATTGCAGTCGTATCTGCTGTCATGAATGCGTCAGACCTACTTTATATGTGGCTGCAGGCCGGGCTGTTCCTCATAGTCCTCTATTAAAAACGGCAGGTTTTTGGCCCAGTGGTTCTTAAAATGCCCCGGTAAGTCCTGGTCCACGTTGTACTCCGCTACAGGGATGTCCAGGTGGGAATGCAGGTAACGGGAATATTCTGGAGGAGAAACAAACAAAAAACAGCTCAATAAGCTGCAGTTAAGACCAGATATAACTTTACTTTTCTCACTGTTGGATTTAAATTTAGATGAAACTTTAACTGTTTTGAAAAAGAGTTAATCAGCTAAACTGGGAAAAGCTTCTCCCACCCATCACTGGGTCTATGCCTTACCAGAGGCACAAAGAGTCAGATTTTGGTGGTTGTAAGATTTCTCTTTTGTCTTTGGTAATAAACCTCAAGCCATTTCTCCCTGCAGTCCTAAGCCAACATGTTTGTTTTGGTTATGTTTACCCAGAATGCACTGGGCTGTAGTTTGCTTCCTGCTTTTGGAGCGGTATCCAGTCCACATGTACGTTCGTGCGTGCATGTGTGTGTAAAAGCGCAGGCCCTCTCACCTCTGAGGTATTTCACTTTGAGGTATTCGGAGCTGGCCTTTTGTCCCAGGAGGGGGTCGTTCAGCATGACTTTAGTCTGAGCTTTGATGCCCTCATAGAACTGACCCATGGCCACGTGACTCAACCCCTTCATGTATTGACACACCTCGTTGTAGGGCTCCAAATGGAGGCATCTCTGTGGGAAAACAAACACAAAGTTAGGTTCCCGCTGCTGGTGCGGCATAAAGCGGTGAGTGTTTCTGCACCTTGAAGTTCCCGATGGCTTCCTGCAGAGAGCCGTGGTGGTACAACATCATGCCTCGAAGCTGCAGAGACTGGATGTGGTTCTGGTTCAGCATGAGGGCCTTCTGGAAACTCTCCATCGCTGATTCAAAATCCCCCAGTTCTCTAAAGGGAGAGGAACAAAGGAGAAGCAACACTGGTTTTCATCATAGCAAAGTAGATAAGTGGAAAGAGTTTCTTTAAAAGAAAATAAAAAGGAGACCTGTAAGCCTGGCCGAGGCTCTTATATGCGTCGATGAAGTCAGACTTCAACTTCAAAGCCTCTTTGAATGCATCGATGGCTTCCTGACAAAGGAAAAACAACACACACCATGAGGAAACACTCAAACTGCTCTGCAAAACACAAAATCCCACCTAGTATTTTTGGTCCAGTTTCTAGTGCAACCATAGGCATCGGAACAGGGGGGGCAGAGGGGCCATTGGCCCCCAACTTTACGGCCCTGCCCTGCGCTGATCCTACCAGACATTTACACACAACTCTGACAATCGGTGACTGATTGTAAAACCAAAAGAATTGTCCTCCAGGTAAGGGATGTTCACTGTTTACTTAGAGACAAATTGAGACAAACCCACTGAATTGATTGACAGCTGCCATCATCTCAATTTAATCAATTTAATTTGATTGTCAGGCGCGCCTGACAATCAAAGTGCGTAACAGAGGTCACGAAACACCCCACCTCAAAAATGAATCCGGCACCGCTGAGTGCAACTGGAGCAAAGTTCAATTTTAATAAAATATCTCAACAGCTAAGCTTAAAGATGGCCAGCAGCACCCTCTGCTGGATGGCAGTCAAACTACACTATCTTTAACTAATTTTAATCTATTAAATGAATAATCAACAATTAATAGCATGTTGAGTAACTGCGACATTTTGTTATGACAACACCCGAACTGAAAGGACATGATGGTGGACTCACAGTTGAATCATCTTGGTTCTTGGTTACGTATGAGCATGACTGCTTGTTCTCCTGCCTACAAAACTGTTTAAAATAATTAAATGAAACAAAATATTCCATTTTCTGTGAATTTTGTTTACATTCATCCTACTGAAGAAACAAACAGCTTATGTTGGCAATAGTGTGTCAGTAGATAAATGCTGCCTGAACAGGCGGTGTTGAAATTAGCACAGTCATCGCCGCCTTCTGCTGCAAGCTGCTACTTGCCAAATGCTACTCCATTCAATAATTTACAAACTGTGAACTTGGTCCATAAATCAGAGTGTCTGATGTGTCCATGAAGAGAACAGGGTCATCAGATAGAGGACACATTCTCTGCAATCGCCACAGCTGCAGTTTCAAAAGATAAAACCGTCCAGGGGGAACTTCCTGTCGCAATAACAGTTGGCCAGTGTTTAAAGCACCAGTAGTGGTGGCGTTGTTATTTGTGGTTAAGGCTTAGCTGACAGTAGGGTTTCCCCAGGAAATGGTTCAGTCGCAGTTTAGCTGAAGGTTTTTTTATGTTTTAAAAGCAGAAATCATCACATACCCATAATACAACTATTTATTTGCAGAAAGATTTAATGAAAATTTTTAAAGATTTAGTTTGAATGAAAGCATTTTTGTAAAATAAAAAGCATCAGCTACTCAGAAAAGGACAATTTATTGGTAAAAATAATCCCCAAAGTTTCCATTTAAGACACAAATCCTCCCCCAAAATTCTTAGCCTTGGAGTCCCCCAAGGCTGAGTCCATAGTCCACAAATTTAGTTAATTAAAGTAGCCGTATTATGTAATTTCCAGGTAACACTGTGCCAATTTATAGCACAATTAATTATATTACCTTAGATTGTTGTAAAAATATATATATCAAACATGACTTTATAAAATTGACTTAGCATCTGACGCCTTGAAATTGGGCCTCTGTATCTTTAAGAAGCTCCTGCTTTTTCCAACATTCCACCTGCAGCACATTGTCACAAAACTGTTTGTCCATCATGCTGTGAACATTAACATAAATTAGAGGAATTTATTAGTGAAATAAATCCCTAATGTTTTGATTTAAGTCACAAAGTCTCCACCATCAGTCTCAGCTCTGGTGTACCTCAAGGCTGTGTTCTTAGTTCACCACTTTAGTCCAAATGCTGAGCACAATTTGGAAGTTTCAGACCCCAAATCTAAAGGCACGATCACACAGAGGACATTATACGAGACTCTATAATTCAACAGGTTTTCAAGAGACTGTGCAGCATTGAAAGCATACAGACAAAAATATTGTATGATAACCTCGTGGTTTAGCACACAACCAGACAGGATGTGGAACAACCTTTTCCCTCAAAGTTGAACACAGTCTGCAAATTACAGCACCAAGCTGTGGTGGTGCTGTAATGCACAGAGGCAACTCTCTTCACAACAACTGCTACATGATCACCACTGAAGGTGAAACAAAAATGCCTTCAGGCCATTTTGTGTGATTTCCGAAAACAGCAAGAGGTTTACATGCACACCTCTGAACCACGAAGCAAGGCTGTGAAAGTGCTCTGGAGGTTTACTTAGGTAAAACTAACATCACGTGGTTTTCTATGTTTCAAATTATTCTAGCATATTGAAAAAAGTTTAGGTTTGATTAATAAATGGCAGTCTTTTGTAAAAAAGAGATTTTTAATGTTGAACTCATTTTTATTTTGGCCAAATCAAGATCATAAATGCTGGTTGTACCTGAATGTGTTGATAAAACCCATTAAAAATAAGGAGTTCTTAAAATTAAATTATACTGACCATCTCCAGGATTTCACAGTTGTTTTGGGGACTTTTTTGCAATAAAAATCAAAGTGTTTGTGGTACTTACTATGAAATATTTGTAACATTTGCTCTTATTTATGATGGTAACTGCAACTTTTAATTACATGCTGCATAAATTATGCACCATAATCTAACATCAATTAGAGCTGAGGCAGCTATTTAGTACAAGTAAGAAAGTTTTTGACAATGTTTAGAGAAAAATCTGCAATAATGTTTTAGTGAAAAAAAGTGCAGGGATTTGTTGTTTTTGTGTGAATTTCCATGATAATTCTCAAGAATCTGGCAGTAAACAGATAAAATCCACATTGATTAGTTTAGTCCATAAAAAGCTAGAGGGCCACATAAATGGCAGACCGGACGTGGGATGAGCCTACCTTCAGCATTCCTCTGTGAAAAAAGGTGAGGCCCTTATAAAGCATGGCGATGGGCTGATTCTTCTTCAGCTCTAAGGAGCTCTGGAAGTCCTCCATGGCTGCAACGTAATCCTGGACAGAGCATGAAAAATGTCCACATGTGAAAACAGGAGAGCAAACATGCAGATGTGTTGCGTTTGCCGGTCAGACCTCGGAGATGAAGAGCAGAGTTCCTCTGTGCCTGTAGAGGCGAGCTGACGGCTGCAGCTGGATGGCTTTGGTGAGGTCACCCAGAGCCTCACTGATCCGACCCAGAGGCGACAAAATCTGAACAACGAACGTGGAAAAATATCAGGACGGAGGACTAATCTCTTTAAACGTAATACAACAAAAGTAGAAATTAGAATTGAAAGCAGAAAAACTGCCAGATGAAAGTCAAACTGCATTATAAAAACTAATTTTCTGGTTCATTGCAACAAAGCTGCAGAAAGTGGCGCAAAGAGGAAATGGTTGGTAAACATCTTCAAAAACATGGGGAGTGGTGCAGATCGGGTTTCACAGTATTCAGCTACCAACTCACCTGCATTACAGCTGCTTCTGCAGCAAATACACTGCAAAGAAACACAACCTTACCGAGGATTTATGGTCTATTACTAATGCAAATATATTGCGGCACCTGAACCTGACTTAAATGTAACTTTTCAGCTAAATGAAGGAGCTTGTTTCACGTACTAGAACTTTTTCATCAATATTAAGAAATTATTAGCTGAAAACAAGCTCCTAAATCATCCTAAAAAGTTGCTTGTAAATTAATTTTTTTCTTATTTTAACTGAACTGAGACATTTACACTAGAAACTAGACAAAAATACTAGGTAAGATTTTGTGTTTTTGCAGTGCGTATGCAAAAACTTTATTTTCATTTATATTTTTACACATTTAAAGCAATTTCTGCAAGCAGACGAAGCAGAACCTACATTTACAATGTTATAATATAATTATGCATAGAGTTTGTTCTGCCTCCTCTACTTTGAAAACAAGGTGCAAAAATGCTTTAGGAAAATCATCTCTTATGGGATAAGCAGTGTGTTTTATTGTTACCGTGACCTTTGACCTCTGTTTGGGCCTCACCTCGGCTCTCTGCTCATAGACTTCGGGCCAGTTCGGCTCCAGTGCGATGACCCGGTTGAGCTCGTACAGCGCCAGGTCTGCGTTCTTTATGTCCTGGCAGGACAATGAAAATACAGTTTCACTAAAATGTTTAAAATGACGCAGTTCAGTTTTGATTCTAGATTTATTTACTAATGTTTTCTAAAGCAGAAGTTTGCACTTTTGAAATGAATAACTGGGTCAAACCTATTGCGTTTCTTTATATAAGCTACTGATAAAAGTACTAAATTTTAAACTTTAGGAGCTCAAAATTTTTTACATTTACTTTCTAGAAAATTTCTGAAAATCTCAAAAAATTTCCAGAAAATTAGATTTAGTGTTACAACAATAACCTGATGTTATTTTGATTCCTTCCTAAGAAATGAAACTCTTAGAAAGCTGCTTTCTTTGGTTTCTGCAGAACTATAAAAGTAAAAATACATCAAATTCACACTCAAAACATAACTGAAACTGAAGTTTTTTTACAGGCTGGAACTCTATAATAAGCTTTAAACAAGGCGACAAAATAAAACAAAAATAGCGTATTTTGCAAGCGTCACTCACCTGCAGGCTTTTCTTGCCGTAAGCTATCCCTCTTCCATAGATGGCGCTGACCAACTCCGGGTCGCTCTGCGTCAAAAACAAAGCATGTTCTGAAGAATAACACTGTCTGGAGAATTATAAAATGCATTTACATGTTATGTATTTAAAGTTAGATGCTCACACACCTGCAGCAAGAGGGAGAAATGTTTAATGGCCTCATCATAAAGACCGTTTCCTATCAGAACGTAGCATATGGCTGCAGAGGGAAGAAAAAAGTCGAGGTAAAAGGGTTTTTAAAAAGCCTCTTAAATGTGGATATCAACTCACCCAGTTCCTCGTTTGTGTTTTGGTTGTCTACAGGGAAGGGGATTTTTTTTTGCTCTATGAACAACTTGGCCTGGTTCTGTGGGGAGATCAAAAACAGATCGATTACACCGACACAGGAAGAAGAAACGAGAGAAACAAAAAGATATCGCACGGAAATGCAAAATAGCATATCGGTTTCCTGTGTGAGGAGGACGTGTAAAAGTTTTCTGTTTTGCGCCTCAGATTTAAAAATACAAAAACAAACAGAAATCATTTTACACCCTTTAAAGAGCCTCTGATCAACCGTAAGTACATTTCTGCTGTTCCAGTCGACTTTTTCCGAAAGAAAAAAAAAAACACTTTTGTTATTCAGGAAAACGTTGATCTATGGACAATACAGCCGGAAAACGTATCACAACACAATATAATTCTTTCTACCAATATAGTGCAGCTTCAACTACCAATCACTTAGGGAGAGTAAATATAAACCAAAAATTATTAGATTAAACTGGGAAATTTGGATGTTTCTGAGCTCCAAAAGTCAAAAATCTGCAAGAAAAGAAAAATCTTTTTTTTCTGAGTTTCGTAAGTTGTAGATTTTTTTACAAAAGGAATGCTTTTATTGCATTTTGAGCAATAAAATGTTTATTCTCTCATATAAAATACAGAATTGAATCATTTATTTATTTGTATTTTTATGCATTCCTAGTATTGTATTAAATAAGCGTAACTGGTGAAATGAGAAATCTGCAATATGTGGCAATTTTATCTGACAAATCTATTAATTGTGATATTAATTTGTTAATAAAATAATTGTTAGTTGCAGTCCTGGTAAGGTAATGTTTTTATCTTATATTCTGGTAGATGTTCAGCACTTTTTTTTAAAAAAAATACTTAATTTTTGGAGGCTTTTTTCACCCAAAATAGTTTTTCAATTAAGTTATAGTATTTTTTCCAGCTCTAAAAATTCTAAATTTTTTTCAGCCACATTAAAATGCACAATTGCGTCGACTGTTACAGATATTATACTGCAGCTCCAAACAGAGACAACCATATGGACAAAAACTGACCAAATCTGCTATATTTTAGCTGTATGAACATTAATTTCTTTAGAATAATAAAATAAAATGTTGAAATCCAGACGCTGGTGACTTTGAATAGTCCAAAGCCCATAAGAAAATAAAAATAAATCAAGGTAAGCTTGTAGTCCAGTGTGTGGCTATCAGTGCAAAGGACCACACCCACAAAACAATCTAAAAATTAACAGATTGCGTCACTAAATATTTTTAGTTTGTTTATCAAAGCTCAACTTAAAAATGAAGGCCTGATGCAGCTTAAATTAAACCAGTTGTTTCCATTTGCTTTTCAAATGAGTTATCAGTAATAAACAAAAAGGGAAAATTCAAAGCTATAACTCAGCAGCAGCAAAAACCTCAAAGTTTTCTGAGTTTAGGTGGTATATACCAGATTTAATCAGCTATTTCAAATTTTTAAAAAAGTAAACAGCGGTGGATGTGATCCGTGGGCAACGTGAAACTTACCAGGATTTTTTCAGCGTTGAGGGAGAAAACCGACTCGCAGGGCGGGTTGCTTCCCTCCACGCAGTCTGGGTCCTCGAACTGCAAAACAGACGACTCTGCAGAGACAAATGTTCAATTAGACGTTTCACACTGAATGTTCAAAGTGGAAATGAATTAAAAATAGTGCAGCTTCAACTACCAATCACTTAGTAATCAATTAATCAATTATACTGAATTGTTTTGCACAATTTTGGCTTAATTACTGATCTGAATATGTTGGGTTTTTTTACCAAATGGCCTTTTTTGAGTCTTTACATTCCAGTTAGTAATTAATCGATTACTAAATTAGTTGCAGACTATTTCAACAATCAATTAATCATAATTAATACGATTAATCGTTTTAGCCTTAAAATAAAGAATTACAAAACAATGAGGCGTGTGTTGATAAGAATGCAGCGTTTTTATTCAAATAACGTTGAATCTGCTGGGAGCTTTTCTATCCACCATTTATATCCGACATTTAATGCTGTTCAGGCTGGCAGGAGGGCGGCGGCCATTATATAGACAGGATGCACCAAAAGGTCATGCAAATGTTCTCATCTAAAAACAGAAGAGCAAAGTTTCTGGCCTGTGGGAAAAAACCACGCACAGCCAGGAAGAGTTTGCAAACTGTGCATAGAAAACCAGGATTTGAACTGTAAAACATAACTACTGAATGTAACAGGAGTATAAACTAAAAATCTGTTACATATGATAGAGAAACTAAGAGAAAAGGTTCTATTTTAAGTTCAAAGCTGCAATTTGAATGAAGGAAAAAATACATCTAAATCTAATTGAGTAAATTCAGTTTGCACAATTTAGCTTCTAAATATAAAAATCCCTAAACACTTACAGAAGATGCAGTTCTGCAAACGATTAAATCAAGGGTCTGAAGTCAAATGTGCACCTCTGTTTTTATATTTTTATTTACCATAACTTCACACTTAGTAAAACTCTATTCTGTAGTGCAATTATGTGGTTAAGTGTAAAGATTTATGTTTAATAATCTCTTTTAGAGGCTTTATTTGTTTATATCTGAATGTATGTAAGTTCCAGATGTAGTTCCTGGTGTGATTAGATTTGTAGGAAATTTCCACTGTTTGAATTTCCAAGAACAAAATGTCCTTAAAGCTGAATCTTTGTGAAACATCAAATCTAAATGTTGCCATTACCAGCAAAACTCTCCAGAAATGATCATTCCTTTAAAATATGCAATGAAGAAAGATTATTATTGTAAAACGTGATATAAGAAGCAAACTACATGTGTTATAAACTCCCCGGGTTCTTAACAACGCGTTGTCCAGCTGGAGGTGACTTTAGTCTCTGAGCTGTCAGTTTGTTATTATTAGCCTATTAGCTGCTAAGCTAACCGGGTGACAGTTGGACCAAGCAGGACGTGGCAAACTGTGGAGAGGCAGCGACAGAGAGGCGGTTTACCGCAGTCCGCAGCGTAGTCCTCCCACTCGGACAGCGAGCTGCATCCCTGCTTGTGGAGCTCGTTGTTGAACAGCGTGAGCGTGGAGAAGAACTCCGTGGAGATGATCCCGCCGCACAGGTAGAGCAGCGACAGTGCTACCACCGCGACAGCCCGGCTGGCAAGGGCCATCTTCGGCTACATGAGTGACGGAAGCTGCTGCAGTCAGAACGAGAGAGCCGCAATCTCAGAGCTCATCGAAACTACAACGTCCGAGCCGCTCTGCTGCGCGTCAAAACAGGTTTTTCCGGTATCACGTCGGAAATGAGCGCTTCCTGTGAACACTTTCAAAATAAAATTGAGGTTTGATCTTTCTAGTAAATAAATAATATTTATTATTATCATTGTAAATTTCTTCTACCTAGGTTTCGAGGTAGAATAAATAATAATTAAAACCACTACTAGTATTAGTTAATTATTATTAATAATAATAACACGAGGCCACTATATCAGAACATCTCATATAGTAGAAAATTGCACAAAGCTCCAAAATAATTATTTTTGCTTCCTTTTTTAAAATTCTGACTCTAATATCAGAATTTCTATCAAACCCAAGTATTCTGACATTTATTTTTCACATCAAAAATATGATATATATAAATTATGGTTGTTGTTTTCTCAGAATTATGATTTTAATCCAACTTTAATCTTAAAATTGTAACTTTAACCCCAACATTATCCTTTTTTCATAATTTTTTTATCAGAATTTTTTTATTTAATATCAGAATTCTGTACGAGCAATGTAATCATTATCAAGCTTTATTGAGTGTGTGCAAAGCAGACGCCATTTCTTTGAGGCATCTTCTGTCTGGTGATCTTCACTCACAGTTTTAATAGGCTGTTGGATGATTATGTGAAAGCTCCTTGCAAATAAACCATCAACATGCCCATCTGTGGTCTGCTTGTGGGTCAAATTACATTTTAACTGAGCGACGCTCCAGTTTCTCTTTAAGTATTTGGTGCTTTTATTTTGAAGTCAAATGTGTGTGTTCCGTTTCTCTTCCGGTTGCCTTGTTTTGAACGCCGGTTTGCTCTTCCTGGCTGTGGACAAACGCAAGAATGGGGAAAGAAGCGTTTTACAGATGTGTTGAGTGCAGCGAGATGGCAGCGGAGCTTCACAGGGATTACAGCAACGGGATTCTGAAGATAACAATATGCGTCCGTCTATTTTTATTGTTGTTTTTTACTTTATTTTAGCCGTCAGATGGAAGGTTACGTCTTTAATCATCTGTTTTTCTTCTTTCAGGAGTCCTGTCAGAAGCCAGTGGATAAATATATTGAATATGATCCAGTTATTATCTTAATTGATGCTATTTTGTGCAAAGCACAAGCTTTCAGACACATTTTATTCAACACGAGCTTAAATGTAAGTCATCTTTGTTTATTAAAATTAATCAACATTAAATTGGACATTAGTATCTTTGTGTTGCAGGTGTAACATTTATTGTATTTGACTGGGATTTTAAGTGGTAGAAAAAGACAAGAAGTAGTTAATTATTGCAAAGAGGAAGAAAGATACCTAATTCTTTTTACAGTTTATTTACTTTTACAAATTGTGACTTGCATTTGTGTTCAGCCACATTGAGTTAAATCAGCGATTCTGTTAAATAAGAAATTAAAATCACACACAAGCTTGTTCAAGAGAAAAGTCAAAACAAAAACACTTCTTTGGCGTTTTCTCCAGTAGTAACATTCGGCTATTACTCACATGAGCTGTGGGGATCGATTAATGAGTTCGATTTGGTTGAAAAGCCACCTCATAATGCTGCAAAGCCACCTCATAATGGTGCAAAACCACCTCATAATGCTGCAAAGCCACCTCATAATGGTGCAAAACCACCTCACAATGGTGCAAAACCACCTCATAATGGTGCAAAGCCACCTCATAATGGTGCAAAACTTTTTTTATTTAAAGTTTATTAGGAGCTTGTGGTATTTTATGATTAGTTGAAACAGTTAGTGATACTTGTGAGCCTTTTTCTTATGAACTGGGAGTAGAAATGTTTCTCATCTCCTTTTGTACCCACTGCTTCCCACTGGGCTGTTCCGCAGATCCACTGGAAGCTGTGTGTGTTCTGCCTGCTGTGTGAAGCGTACCTCCGGTGGTCCGCGCTCCACGGCTCCGAGCAGAGCAGCGACCCGGCCGACATCATCCGCTACACCAAGGAATGGGACTTTTATGGCAAGTTTGGATTAGCTGCCCTGGGTGAGATGATGATCCATCTGAGGATTTTTGTTTGTTGCTCAAAATATTCAATAAATGCAGATGTTAGTGTTTCGATGGTAACCTTCCATCAAATTTAAGAAATGAAATTTATCTTTGTAGCTTCAATTTGAGCATTTTTTTATGCTTAATCATGCAAATTGTTTAATTCCCAACATGTTCCTCCTGTTTGTGGATCTGCAGAGCTGGCGGCGTTCTGCAGCGGCCTGCTGTCCTTCCTCTGGATGTGGGAGTCCCGTCTGCAGGGACGGAGCGCGGAGCTCGACCTGCTGCTCAGAGCGCTGCTGCTGTCCTGCTACGGTAAAGTCCTCCTCATCCCCACCGTCATCTGGGACCATGACTACTCCCCGCTGTGCCTGGGCCTCATCAGGATGTTCGTGCTCACCTCCAACTCACAGGCCATCCGAGGTGAGAAGCAGGGATCGATGAATGACTTAATTTACAATTAATTGAGCTCATCGATGGATTTAATATTCTTAAAAACCTGAGTTTTCTCCTCTGCTTTGCTTGTATTGCCTTTTTTTGTCTATTTTAGGGATGCAAGTTATTTAGTTAATCTAAAGTTGATTGATCTAGTCTATTGACTAACAATTAATTGATAAGCAGCCATTTGTAGCAATAGAGTCGACCATCTTTCATAACACAAAGGGTTAAATGTTTCAAAAACTGCAGGTGTGTGTCTGGTGAATTTTTGGTTAAAATTTTTGTTTTTCATTCAGTGGGTAGAAAATTCAGACATTTTACTGAAGTATATTATAAAATTACTCCTAAAAGTTATTTTTTTCTAAAAGGCTTCTTAAGTAAATGTAATTAAGTGCTACTCAAATCTGATTAGAACTCATTTTAATCTAATAAACTATTAGATGACGATCAATCACAAGTCAATGAATTGATTGGATCCGTAGTGAGATTTCCATTTCCCGCTGTAATTCTCTTCTTCTTGTGTTTGTTGTGCTGATGTTGCTGTCCGCAGTGGCCCTGAACTGCAGCAGGCGTCTGTCCCTGGCGGCTGTTGGCTTCGGCCTGCTGTCAGAAACTCTCACCGCTCAGAGCTGCAGGAAGCTCCAGTGGAGCATCCAGGACGTCTGGACGTCTTAATTATTGTCTTCACCATCTTCAGACTGGAATACCTGTTAACTCACAGATGGATTACCCGCTTCATAAACCTACTGTTTTCTTTTCAGGGTAAATTATTGGTTTGTATAACAGCTTTTTATTTTGCTTTATTTCTTTGTAACTATGTAAATGTGTCCAAATAAAGCTAATCTGAGTCTATTGATACCAAACTTGTGATCATTAGATTTGTAAAATGTTTTATACACTGCAAAAACAAAAAATCTTACCAAGTATTTTTATAGTGCACATTTATCTTAGTTACAGTTGAAATGAGACAAAACTAACTTACAAACAACTTCTCAGTGAGATACAGCAGCTGGTTTTAACTCAGCGGTTCCTCAATGTTGACGAAAAAGTTACCGAGCAACGCCAGCCAAACCCAGCCTGTCACCTAGCAACCCAGATCTCGTTGGCTGATGATGTCACTTCGAAAAACGTCTCGTTATAAATGACATCATCTGACAGGGGAACTTTTTCGCCAGTTTTAAGAAATGATTGATGGAAAAACAAGCTCCTCTGTCTTGGTGAAGAGTTCATTTTAATAATAAGTAATAAAAATAAATTTGATAAATTTTATATTGCATAAGACTACATGATGAGATATTCAATTACAATTACAATTGGATATATAAGTTATTTTATTTTTTTAAAAAAAAGCTTATTAAAGGATGTTTTTTTAAGGTGAGCAACAAGATAAACTTTTCAGAAGGATTTTGGTGATTTTTTTTTTCATAGTAAGTAAAAACACACAGCCATCTTGTTCTCCAGGTTACTGTTTAACATGCTCCAGTTCCTGAGCCACTCTCCAGGAATGACGCTAACAAACCCCGAGGTTGTAATTTCACTGGTCTGAGTGGACTGGAGTCGTGCAGCTCGCTGCACATTCTTTGGATTAGCGGTGAGATGCCTACCTGTCTGACTCACGTAATGCATGTAAACACCCAGACAGCCGGGTTAATCACAGAGTTCATCACCTGCTGCAGCTGCTGCTGCAGCTGCTTCAGGGTCTTGTTGAAAGTTTTTCTTTGCCCACTGTTTAAGGCGCATCCTGGATCAGCTTCCAGGGCCGGCCCAAGACTTTTTGGGTCCCTAGGCAACATGTCAACATCAGATGCTGCATCATTCCAAAGCTTCTCTACATGTGGTGCCATAATAACACCAGTAAACCTGCACAGGGGTATTTAAATGTCCCATAATAATTTAACCATTTGAAAGTAACATCAACTGATAAGCACTAAATTTAAGGTAAACAAGTTAAAATGTTTAATATCTTATATTTTCCCAACAGGAGGAAAGACTTAGCCTATTATTTGTGTACAGGCTATAAAAACAGACATTTACAAGCATTTAGCTGGTAAAATTGTTATTTTAAATGTAAATGCATATTTTTATCACACCAGCTGTGCTTTTGGGAGCCCCAAGTATCCAAATCACTGCAAGAATAAACGCCTTGGTTGATGGATGACTCCATCTAAACTGTAAGATTTATTTTTTATAGAAAGTTAAAAAATGGATGTCAGAAAAATAAATCTTTTAAAACTCAAGAAATGTTCATGTTTTTTTTTTAGCCAATTTTTGACTTTTCAAGTTCTGAAATTTCCTTATTTGTTTCTGAGAAAAATTTTGGAGATTTAATCTAAAAATGTCAATTTTTTCGAGCAACGTTACAAGTTTTCATGCTCAGAAATGTTCAAGTTCTTTTTAGAAAATTTGTAAAATTAATTTCAAAATTTTTTAGTTTAGTTTAGTTTTGTTTGTTTTTTTAGCAAATTTGACTTTTCAAACCAAAAAAATTCTGGGATTTTTCTAGGAAATTTCTGAAATTAATCTTAAATGTTCTTTTTTTTAAAGATAATTTTCCACTTTTGAAAATCAGAAATTTCAAAGATTGTTGGGAGGAAATGTACTTCTTTTTAAAATACTCCCATCATATAAAGCAGAATCAGCAGCTAACTCGCTGAAAAATTGAGTTTCAAGTATATTTTCTAAAGAAGAAAAAGAAGAAACTGCTTTCTGCCGATCCAACCAGCTCTGATTTGTTAATCCACTGGAGAGAGTGAGGAGCACCTTGGATTTACTCTCTCACTCAAGATTATGGTAATCTGCTGTAATCTCCTAGCAGAAGGTCAAACAGACTGCAGATACAGAGATCATAGCTTCCAAATAAATGGATGCAGAGGAATGCTTTTATTTTTTAGAATTGAAATGAGCCCTGCATGGCCCAGTTATTCATTACTTCAGAGGATTTAAGCAGCATGAAAACGTAAACAGTTTTTTCCTTTGAGCCTCCCAGCAGCAGAAGTTGCACCATCAAAGCCTCCTGCTGCTTTAATGATCAGTCGCACTGAAAATGCAGGAGCACACCGGGGTCTCCAGACCAAAATGCAGATTGGAACATTTACATGCAAGTCAGATGCAACTTAAAAGTGGAGCAGCAGCAGAGCAGAGAGAAGCTGCAGCTTTACTGAGGCTGGTGGACATTTTGGGAAGAAAAAGGTTGCAAGTTCAGAAAACCTTATGAGTTAAAAGCCTATTGCTTAAAGTGAATCCATGTCTGTGTTATTAAAAATGATCTGTTATACTTCCTTGAACAGGTTAAGATGAGTCTATGAATATTTTTTGCTCAAAATAATTCTTAGACAAGAAGATTTCATGTAAAAATGGCTGCAACAAATGTAGATTCATACTACTTTGCAAAGCAGAAGTGGAGCCTCCTGCACAACCAGCAAGAACACAGCAAGCAAGTGGTATCTAGATGGTAAGTGGGCAACGCAGCACTTATCTTTTCCAGCAGCCGTTGTACAGTGCAGACAGTAATATTTAATGCTGATTCTTGGCTCTGACTCCATTTCTACCCTCTAAATGACATCTGGTCCCAAACTACTTGGCCTGGGTTCATCCCAGGCTTTTTACCATCAGCAAAATAATATATAATTTACTATTCATTAAGAAAAAAAAATATAGATATATATACATCACCCTGGGCTGCTGTCACTGTGAGCCTTTTTTTTAGTCTGGCCCCACAGAAACCATCACACAGACCTGAAAACCATGGAATGACTTTATTAAATGTGAGTACAGTAAGTATAACTGACAGTCCAAGTAACAGAACCAGAGGAATAAACAGAACTTTCACATTCCAGTTTGCACCATTGATTTATCTCAACAGATTTAAGCCAGTAGTAGCCCAGCGGTGTCCAAAGTGTGGCCCAGGGGCCAATTATGGCCCTTACAAGGATTTTAACCACAAGTCAAGAGTGGTAAAAAAAAAATTACAAAAAATTTAATAGAGTAGAAAACAATTAATGATCCCAAAAATGAGGGAATTGTACATTTTTGTTTTAATCCAAAGCCCCTTTTGTGATTTGGATCTTTAACAATAAACAGATTTATTGTTGAATAAAAACAACAAAATCCAAAATAATTAATTTTGTATTTTTAATTTAATGAAGTTTGTAGTTTAAATTTACCAGGGAAGACATTTGGACACCAATGTGGTAAAAATATTATGTTTTTTCTGTTTTTTGCATGAAACAAATGTTGAAAAAGTACCTTTCACTTCAGTTTCTACACGTCGGCGGCCGCATTGCATTCTGGTCAACGGAGTCCACTTTGGTCCAAATTAGCAAGTGAAGAATAACAATAAGGCTTTTGCTTCTTTATTATGACGCATGTAACATTCAAAAACAAATCCATTCTGTGTGGGTGTCGTTACATTTTTACCCAGGCATCTGAAAACCCTGAGGAAACATTTCCAATATCAACATCCATTAATTATTTAAAAAAAGGGAAATCTTTCAGCTGTTAGAGGAGCAAGCTGGTGTTCAGTTTGTGATTCATTTGTACAGCGTTGGAGCGCAATAAATACCCTCAAATGACCCGAAGTGAGACGTGAACAGATCAGCTTCCTGTCTGCATGACGAGACCACGACTAGTTAAAGCTGCTACATGAAGAGGATTAAAATCTGTTTTAAATGTCTGTTTCAGGTTTTAGATGTTCAGAAAACTAACATTTGAATCTATTTATCCTGTTATAGTTGAGCTACAATCTACCTTTTTAGCAGTAGGATCACCTCAAATAAAAACAAAAAAAATCTATTTTAATTTTAATTTGTTGGACTTCTTTTTAATTCTACATGGAGCAGCTTTAAATCCCAAAATACAGACCAAACAATCACTGTGATGGAGTCTTATGGTCACATTTCTGTGTTGATTAGAGCAAAAAGAGATGAGAAGAGAGTTGGTAGAAAAGTCTAAGTGTAGGAAAAGCATTCAGAATGTGAAGGAAAACTGAAAAAATGTTTAAACGAAGGGGAAAAAAAGGAAAAAAATATTTCTAAAAAGTGTAAAAAAAAAAAAAGACTGTAGAGAGAAAAATCCAATACATTGAGAAAACAAAAGTATTGGCAAAACATAAAAACAATTATTTAAATGTAAAAAAAAAGAAAATATCAAGAGAAAATTTCAAATGTAAAGGATAAGTTGAAAAATATATAGAAAAAATAATCTAAATCTTAAAAAATAAAGGTAAAAGACAAGAAAATGTTTTAAAAATACATTTTCATTCAGATAAAGTAAACCAGCCACTCTGAGAAATTTATGGTATTAATTATGAAATATTGCCAATTTTCTCAATACTTACATTTTGACTAAATTTATCATAAACTTCTTTGACGTCATTCTGAGACCGGAAATAAAAACAAAACAAAACAAAAAAAGTTGTGGCGATTCTCCATCATACAATCCAGATAACCAGCGGTTCACTTTCCATCCGTCTTAAACAGGAAGCTGCTGCTTTACAAAGGCACTAAATGTGATGACATCCAACAGAAACACAACATCTGATGGGCTAAATCCAAAGAAAATTCAGATTGTTGGTACAAAAACAATCAAATAAACCAAACATTCAGTTTATTACACCATGAAACATTTAGATTTTTGCAGAAGCTCAAGAAAATTGAGATTTTAAGAAGTGGCCGCCATTTTGAAGTTTGTTTTCTAACATGAGGATAAGAAAGACAGATTTAAAATGCTAAAATGTTCTGAAATTATTGATTGGAGTTGATAAAACTCCTTTGCAGGTAAATAAATGAAAAATGACTTGATATGAAGTGACCGGCAGCCATTTTCCAGCATGAAATGACAAAAACTGACAGGATATGAAACGGCTTTGAGGTGAAATGACCAGCAGCCATAAAAAAACAAAAAAAAACAAAAATATGATTTAGTAAATCTTATTTCTGACTATATAGTGATAAATTTAGTGTTTGTGAAGAGAAAACTGCAGAGTAACTTTAAAAACATTCTTTAGATGAGATCATTCATTCAGCAGGACCGCCATCAGAAAACAAAATGGCCGCCTGACCTGGAAGAACTGCGATGTTTCTCGCTACAGATGAAGGAAGACCGGGCGAATCAGTCCAGAATGTGTTCGTCGACAAACATTTACGTCTGAAATGAGGCAGAGTTGCAGAAATTCCCCATAAATGAAACTTTTTAAATATAAAGTCTGAGAGCTGGGCGAGTCGGATCAAAGATCAAATCAAACTTTTTTCATCCCAGATTCAATTTCATTCAATTTTGTTGTTTTGCTCATTTACAGAAATGTTCAATTATCCAGTTTCTGAGGTGTTTAGAAATGTTTCTTTATCTATGAGAATGTAATTATGTTAGAAAAAAAAGGAAGCAATTTTATCTTAAAATGATTTAAACAGTTGTCTTAATGAGGAAAAAGCTTCAGAGCCACCAGGATTTGATTGTTTCAAAGTCCTGCTGCTGTTACTAATTTATAAGTTCACAAAATGCTCATCTTTATTTAAATTTCTCATAAAAATGCGACTTTATTTTTTTATTATTTCCAACTATACGACTTGTTTAATTAAAAACAAATAAATTGATCCTAATATTTTATCACATAATTGAACTAAATTCAAAGTAGAAATAAATATAATTTGTAAACAAACTTGTCAAGCAAAGATGGCCGCCCGGATATCACTCTGAATTATGGAAACCTGATGAAAAAAAGCCAGAATTTTCCAAGAATTAAATCCTCAAAAATGATCAAATGGATTCGTCGCCCAGCCCGAAACTTTTCCCTCAGCTCCAGGATGAAAAAGACGTTCAGCTTGATGTGGATATGTGAAAAACAATGCAGCTGTTCAGACAGCAAGGCCACAAAGAAAGGTTAATTTCTGCTAATTCTGCTCTGATTTCCCTCCAAACATCACATTTGAGGAATATCCAAACATTGCAGCTTGAAGGTGCAAAACAGAAACATGATTACAGATTTTCTTTTAAAGTTTTGAGTGAAGTTCTGCTCAGTAAACGCTGGTTGTAACCGCAGAGAACGGACGCTACACTGACCATAAAACGTTGCACGAATCCTCCCTGCGCAGGAAACCAGATCTGCTCCGTTTACTGGAAGGAGGATCTCACCTGAAAAACATTTCACCGATTTAAAGTTCCTCTTCCTGGTCCTGAAGAGTCGCAAATGCCTTTAAAATAAAAAAAAAATCCCACATTTCAGGTTTGAAGTCCAACTTTTCTGCTTGTACCTTTTGTACAAAACTTCCAAAGAGAGCAAAAAGAATAATAATTAAAAAAAAAAAGAATACTTTGTTATTTATATTATGTAATAAATAATAAAACTTTGTTCATATATTTTGATCATGTAAAAAAAGAAAAGGAAAGTAAGAGTGACTGGCAGCAGAGTGAAGGAGTCCAGGTGAGCCCAGGTGAGTCCAGGTGAGCCCAGGTGATCTCAGCTCTGCGCTCGGTCGGACAGGTTTCCTCTTTGGCAGTCCGATGCCGTCGGCAACCAGCCACTCCCTTCTCACAGCTTAGCTCCGCCCCCTAAAAACCCGGGCCCGCCCGCAGCAGAACCCGCGCAGATCCAGGCCTCAGACGGCGACGTTGAAGGACTCCCAGCTGTCCTCCTTGCCGTTTTTGGCCGCCGCCGACGAGGCGTTGCCGTCGGCGACCCCCCCGGCGCCCGGGAGGTCGCCGGTGGGCGTGGCCCCGGGCTCGGCGTAGAACTCGTCGTCCTCGTCGAAGTAGCCGTTCTCCATCATGCTGAGGCTGGAGGCGGCGCTCAGGTCGTGGCAGCTGCCCTTGTACTCCTGGATGGACTCATGCAGGGACCAGAGCTGGCACAGCAGAGACATGTCCTGCTGACGCAGACCCACCTGCAGGGGGCGCAGTGCACACATTAACGACGCCTCAGGAAAAGGAAGCTGCAGGGTGCATGAGGGGAACATGACGACACCGAAGATGAAATCTGAGCTGATTCTGGTGAAATGTTGACAACACCTAAAAGCAACAGGTTCTGCTGTCTGGAGTCACAGTTTTAACAACAGAGACCCGATTACTGACTGGTCGGACGGACAGGATGGATGGATAAAAACATCCAAACCTGGAAAATTCTTCATATCCAAGATTTCTCCACAATAATAATAATAACTTTAAATAAATTAAATAAATCTCCAACATGACCATGTTTTTGTTTTCACAAAAAAAGTTTTAAATACTTAAAAACTGCATAAACCTTCTGTAAAAACACAAACAACCATTTAATGCCGTGATTTCAAGCCATTTTCAACATCAGTATTCATTATTTTAATTTACTGAGCCGTATAGTGGGAACTAAGGTTAGAATTAATTTGAAATATTTTCTGAAATTTCCTTCATTTTTCATTTGCACAGTGGTTCTTATGGTTGTGCAAATGGACAACATTAAGCTGAAAATCAGATTATCCATTGGAGGAAATGATGATTCGGTCATCTGACCTCCATATTGTTTTTCTGAGACAGTTCACTGTGGAGCCGCAGCAACTCTATTGTTTTCACCGTCACAAACACACAAGTGGCTTTAAAACATGGAACAACTACCATGTTATTAAGCTCTGTGAATTTCAAACGCTCAGCGAAAGATGGGCAGCTGCAAAACAAATCAATTTAAGCAGGGAAATTTTCTGCTGCAATACAAAAAAATAAGATTTCCCACATTTTTTATCTTATTTTTACTGCTGCAACAGATGTTTGGCATAAATATTCCTGCCTCTGGGAAAGGAGTGGAAGAGTTTCTGTAAAAACCTGCCAGTTGTTTGTTTTCTGGAAGTTCCCAACTCCCCACCAGGGTTATATTTGGATTTTTATTATAGTTTAGTTTTAAGAGTGTTTACTAGTTCTTGTTACTTTTTTTCATACTTGGGTTAATTTTTAGGTGAAGAAATTAAAAAGGTGAAAGTATTTAATGTTATGTATATACACTAATTGGGTAATGACTAATAAACAGAAGACACTATTTTCAAAAAACACTGAAAAACAACTTCTGCAGATAAGAATAAGTGCTGTAATTAGCAGAAAATTGATGTGAACAGCCAAATATCCCGACTAATTTCAGTACATTTTAGTGAGTCCTATTAATGCACAGCATAGTTCCAGTGAGAAAACTTTAACTTTAAACTACAACTTTATAATTTTTCCGCCATTAATTAGCATTTTTATTTTATTTCAGTAAAATTTTTTCTCGGTCTCAAGATTTTGTTATTTTGCTTGTTTTAGTTAACTGTAATAACTTTGCTCCCTACTGAACTATACGCTCATTCTCATATTTCCTTTAGTATTTTTGGAGAAAGTGGTCACAACTCAGGTTTTAAAGTAAATGTAATGATTTACTAGAACCTTTAACGTCAGTTTTATGTTTCCAGGTAAAAAACAGAAACAGCTTTCAAAAAGGCAGTGAATGATTATCGGCTAATTGACGACTTTGTCAATTATTGCCATAATGGCGTTCCTCAAGGGTGTGTACTAGGTCCTCTTATTTTTTTGTACTTGACACTTTATGGATAAGGTTGCTCTGGCTTCCAGTAAAGTAGATTTTAAAGTGTAATGTTCAATATTTAAATCTGAACTTGGGCTGCAGTGTTTTTGTCAGTGCTAGCAATAAGGTAAACAAAGTTTGTTCAGTTAATGAGACAACATTGAAATATCTATTTTCATGTATATTGTTTGTAAATGTGCTGTCCTGCATTATTATTTTCAAAATAAGATTTTTTATTGTTTTAATGTTTACTGTATGTTTCTTAAATCTTTTCTCCAATATTTATGTTTTATCTATACTTAGCAACTTTTTTACCTCCGCTCTTTTATTGAGGTTTTTTTTTAGAGATGGACAATATTCACAAACTTACATCGGCATTTTTTAACATATGAAGACAAATAAATCTGGGCCAACAAGAACAATAGATATTTATTTTTATCTTGCTGTCATCTGTTTCTGGTAGTTTGAAATGGAACTGAAATATACATATCGTTGGTAAATATTGGTTATCAGGCATAAAAGTTATATCAATATCAGCAGCATTTTCTGATTGGTGCATCCCTAATTGTTTTTCTATTTATGAACTTAATTAGTTTGCTTATTTTTCTCTTTTCATATTGATCTGATAAATAAATTGGGCCAAAATTAACAAAAGATTTTTATTGTTTATGTTGTTGTCATACGTTTCTGGTAGTATTGTTTCCCAAAGGTGTTCAAGTGTATATAAAATTCCTAATATTTTTTAATCTATGAACAACTTTATCAACATGACTTCTTTTCCAATTTTCATTAAAATTTCTTAAATAAAATTAGGGTGACATTTCAGAGTTTTTTAAATAAAATCTGATCTGTTTTTAGTTTCTTAATAGGAAAACTTCTACTTAAAAACTAAACAGTACCTATTTATAAAAGGTTCCTGTTTAATTTCTAATATATTCCTGCAGAATTGAGCCGCTGATTATTAGAAAACGAGAAGCAGCATAAAGCCCAACAAGAGAGTTAATCTTGTTGAACAGGACGATTTCTGCGGGATTAAACGGCTTTCTCTGGGTGAAAACAACGCGGTGGAGAGGAACACTCCCTGGAAATGTTACCATTTCTTTCCGCAGGAGAGCGAGGGCAGCGTCCAGGTTGGCCGGCTTGCTGGCCAGCAGGCTGTCGGTGTTCCTGCCTCGGCTCAGGTCGTCCTGGATCATGGTTTTCTTCACGTACATCCTCTCCATTTCTCTCCACGAGCCGCCGCTCGAGTTCAGCAGCCCGCTCAGGCTCTTCGGCAGCGGCGGCAGACCCTCGATGCAGGCCATCCCCCCCGCCGTACCGTTCGCTGACTTGCCGTTCATGTTCCCGGTGAGTTACTGGATGAGTTATTAATAACGCTGAAACTGAACGGTAAGTTTAAATCCAACAAACAGACCGAGGGCGCAGCCGTCTTAGAGCCGAGCACACCGAGCAACAGTCGTGGCGTTCTCTGCCGGAGGCGGAGAGGGACGCTGCGTTAAGTTAGCTGAGCCAGTGACGTAACATTTCCGGTATGAGGCGACAAAGTAAAAGCCCCAACTCCTAAACTACAAACGAGCTTTTTTTCCAATATTTAAAGGGATAGTACTGAGTTTTTGAAAGGTTGTGAGTAGTTTATTACCAGGGCGCATTAGGGTCATATAGATAGAGAAAAAGGAGAACATTTCCGACAGACAAAATGTTTAGATTAATCTCAGAAAATTTCTGAACTCCAAACGTTGAAAAAATTTGAGGGAAAAAAAACTGAAATTTTGAGATTAGTCTAGTGAATTTCTAGAAAAATCAGATAAGTTTCTGAGCTTCAAAAGAGTTTCAAAAATCAAACATTTTCGACCAGCTAATTTTTTTTCTTCTGGAAGTGCACTCTTTTAGTTCCAAAAGATTTTTAACTTTTTAAACAGAAATTGACAAATGTAAAATAATATAAATAAATAAAAATAATTGCAGAACTTTTCTAGAAGTCAAATATTGTTCAGGTTTTAGGAAAGAAAGTCTAGTTTTTTTAAAAATTTTCTGAGAATAGTCTCAGAATCTCAAAATGTCTTTTCTGAGAATAGTCTCAGAAAATTTCAGGGATATTTTCGCCATTTCAAACTCTGAAATGTTTTTCTGTTTTTTGCAGAAAATTTCTAAAAATCAATTTCAACATTTTTTTCCTCAACGTTTACAATAAAACAATTCTGATTAATCTCAAAATTCCTGAGTGTTTTTGGCAGTAATTTCCTGTTTCTCTTCTATCTATAATACGGCTAAAGAAGCATATACCTGCCTGAAATTAAATATTCAAGTGCAGAATCTCGTTATAATCAGAAAGTTTCTTGTTAAAGTTAGAAAACTTTTTTTTTATAACACAAAAATTGTTAGAATGTTATAATGAGAAAATTTCTCTTGTTAATAAGAGATAAAATATTTTCTTCTGATGAATTAAAACATGTTAAAAAGCACAGAGATTTTGATCCTCCTGTTTCTTAGAGAACATCTCAAAATAACAAAGACGTACTTTAGCCAGTGACGTAACATTTAACGTGACAATTTAAACTTTGTCATTCATTTTAAAAGTTTTACTGATTTATTAGTTCATTTAAAACCTGACATTTTTTTCAACAAAAGCTCTGCTCCATATATTCTTGAATAAATGCAGCTTTTATTCACAAAATTATATTTTTACACACACATATATGACAAGATGAAGTGATATTACAAATCTGGTCAGAATTAATTTCTTTAATGTCTTTAAAGTCTGATCCTTGAACATTTTCTGTCATCAGAGAAAGCAACACAACCTTAAGACTGATTCAACTGCCCAATATATTGATTTCACCAAACGGCTTTTATTTTGAAATTCCCTTCTGGTTGCTGCAAGCCGCTAAACATTTTCCCTTTTGGCTGAGAAGTCAAATCCGCTTCCTGTCATTTTAACGCAGAAGCTGCGGGGCGTTTCCCACCAAACACTCAGAAACAACAATATTCCCTTTTTTCCTCCTAGTTTTGTCTGATAATTTAGCAGGAAATGTCTTGGATAGACATTATGTCTAACTTGTCAGCCGGCATGGGGTGTGTAGGATTTTTTTTTTTTTTTGAGGTCATGAAAAGGAGTGTGTGTGTCAAAGACAATAGTTTGAGCACAAAAGAGAGACGATGGTTCTCATTTCCACCCCCAGCTCTGCTGCGTCCTTCCAACAAAGCAACTTAAAGAACCTTGAAGCTGAAACACAAAAGCATCACAACGCATGTTGCTCAGGAAGAGAGGAGCAACTTTACCACACACAGAGATTAAGACTGAAGCCTCTCCAGATTAAAGCTGCAGTATTTGACTTTTATTTAAAAATATGCTTTTTACATATTTGCTAAAGCTGTTATGTTGTTGTGACAGTTTGTTATGAGACAGATAATCTGTGAAAAGATGAGAAAAGCACGGCTCCCGACTAAAATCAACCAATCAGAGCCAGGAGCCGGGTCTTAGTGCTGTCAATCATCCTCGTGGATGTGCCGCTAAATGTGCTAATGAGGGAGAAACAACCTACCTTAACAGGACAACGTTTATCTGCCATCATGGCGCTCATGCTAACTAGCATTAGCATTCATGACAGCGCTAAGATCCGCCTCCTGGCTTTGATTGGGTGTTTATAGCGCCGGAGGTGAGCAGAGAACCCCAAAACTGCACACAAGTAAGAGTAAAAGTATTTTCGACTGAAGTACTGAGTAACTGATCAAATTATAAATCGTTTAACGTTTACAAATAATCAGATGGACCAAAACTCTAGTAAGTACTAACCAGTTTACTACTATAACCAGTTCTCATTAAGAAAACGTACTTGTAAATTATTTCAAGTGAGCTCAGATATTTGCAGCAGCAACTCGACCAAAAGTCCTTGCAGTGTTACAATCTCTTCCCAGATCTGAACTAAAAAATCCCCCCTAAGTATTTAAAACCTGTTGAACGCTGCTTGTTGTTTCAAATAAATCTGTTAATCTGAATTCTGCATATTTGTCCTTGAAAAGCAACTCAACCATTTAATCTGAGGGTTCGGCGATTGAGATCGAGGTCAATACGTTGTTTTTCCAGAGGTTTACCTTTCAAAACATTTCCTTCACCGTCATCAAGGCCTCAAAGCTGGAGGATTAGACAAACCATGGAAGATCCATGAAACCCAGCAGGGTTGTGTTAATCCTTCTGGATAAACGCACAATGGCTTTCAATCTCTGAGCCAAATCCGGCTAATAATGTTGTGAAGAGATCCATGAAGGCTTTGCGGGAAAGGAATTACCTGTTCAACACCACAACAATTACAGTTGGTCTGTTTACCCCCAAAAAGGCTTCAGAACAGAGGAGACTTTGGGCCGGCGGAAAAAAAGAGAATAATTCTGATTCTCTGAAAAACAAGGAAATATCAGAGTTTAAAATGTGCTAAAAAGAAAATAAAGAAACTTCTGAACTTAAAAGTAAAACAATAGCTAGACAGCAATTAAATTTTTGGGATCAAACTTAGAAATGTTCTAGAAAAATTGTGGACAGTTTGGAGTTTAAAAAGAAAAACAAAAAAAGACCAGAAGAATCTGAAATTTTGAGGTAAAACTCAAGAATTTTCTGGAAAAAAAAAAACATTTCTGAATTTTCAGATCAATTTCAGACACTAGAAAAATCTTGGAAATTTCTCAGATTGAAAATTTGTCATTAAAAAAAGGACATTTCCAAGATTAGAAAATTGCAAAGTTTCAAGAAAAATTACATTATGAAATTAATAAAAACAATTCTAGAAAAAACAAGAAAAGTCAAAAATATAATTACAAAATTTCAGATCATTTTCAGAAATTTTCTTTAAAAAAATGACATTTCTGAGTTTCAAATGTTGAAAATTTACTAGAAAACACTCAAAGTCAAAAATTTAAGACTTTAGAGACTTTGACATTTTGATGGTTTATCCAAATTTTTAGTGTTTAGATTAATTTAAAGTTTCTGATTTTCTCCTGGAAATTTTTTCAACTTTTCAAACTAAGAAATGTTCTTGCTTTTGTGAGAACATTTTCAATGAAATAAAAGTTTGACTTTTGTAAATGAGATGAATATCAACACGTCCAGGATTTGCAGTAAATTTGTTCCTCCTGTAATTGATGTCAGTGATGACTCTAACACACCTGTCCAGATGAATCCTCCCAAACTGTGAAGGTATTTGTTCAATTAGCTGGAATCTGATAAGCGTCTGCAGAACAAGCAGGCTGGTTTCCTTGCAGGACGTCTTCTCCCTCCTGTAGATCCTCCGGCCTCTAAGCGTGCCGCATCATTCTGCTGCTGCAGCAGCTGAGCTGAACTCGCGTCTCGTCTGGGATGCATCACTGTCAGCGTGAGACAAAAGGCCCACAGGAAGGAGGGAAGGCGGCTGTCAGGGTTCGGGGCGGTTCGGCCTCCCACAGGGAGTCGACACGCAGCAGCAGGTCAGGTCAGAGGAGCAGCAGCTGCTGTGAGCGACGGCGTCTTCCTCACAAAATGATTCTTCATCCTGTCGTCAGACAGGAAACGGATCAAACTGCTGCTGGTGGGTAAGAAATGTGTAAGAGAAAGCACCTCTGGGGTTTAATTACGCCCACAGACGGTTGAAATCGAGAGGCAATGCTTGTTGTTTCTGCAGCGTCTGCGATCAACAGCTGGACCCACGTAGCCTTGACCTCTGACCTTTCCATTCAGCCCCGTTTTCTGCTCAAACACGCCCACAATCCATCTGGGCCCTTTGAAGCTGAAAACAATAGCAGAGATACTTTTTACTCAAGTATTTGGTGAAAACAATCATTGAATATTTTAAAATTACATCATCAGATGTAACATTTAGGTGGAAATTTTGGTATTTTGAAAACCAAAATTAAAATAATTCATATAAATTAAGTTTTAAAAAGTAATTTTCTTTCATTATAAAACTGATGAGCTGGCCTGTTTGTTATGAATTGAAGTTAGAATGAGTAATCAGAAATTTTACTTAAGAGTAGAAATACTTCTTAATAAAAAGTATTTGATAAAAAATATTCCTTGAGTAATGAGTAACTGATCAAAACATCCATAATTTAATATTTAAAACAGACATCTTCAGATAGACAACATATTTATGTAGAACTTTTAATTTTATTTTAGAGGCTAAAATGAAAATAATTTATATAAATAACAAAATATCAGAATCTGCCCAAATAAATCCAAATCAGTTTCTATCCATATAAAACTTATTAAACGTTTCCAAAAACTGAAAACATTTCTGGTTTAAAACATGTTTAATTTTTACTCAGTGGACAGAAAATTCAGATATTTTACTCAATTTGAAGTAGAAATACTTCATCATAAAGTTACTCAAGTGAAAAGTACAAAAAAGTATTAAAATACAGAATTTAGACATTAGATGACTTGTGAAAGTTGCTATATTAGAGTATTAGGAACAGGCAAGGAAATTACAAGAATAACATTATAAAATT